GGCATTGCACAAGGTCATGTTTTTATCGAACTGTTTTTGATGTCTTTACACTAAATCCATTGGATGTTGGATGTGTACTGATTGATATTTTAGTCTTAGATGTTTGATTTTTTTTTATTAGTTATTATTGGCTTTGAACTAGCTGTCATTAACTGCGAGTACTCTCAGATCTGTATTTAGTGTCTTTTTGTTGTGGGGATGTATAAGTATGTCTACTCTGTGTTTTTGTTGGGAGGGTTGAGTGCTCGCTAACATGTTAATTCTGAATGTGCCTGTCCCAAGTCAGTGACCTGTAATTCAGTGGATGTTTTTTCGTTTCTAATTATTCGTTTATTGTTTTGTACAGTTTGTTCTTGTGTTGTGCTGTTGCACTATTGTCCCAGGTTAGGGGGAGGGTTAGTGCCCGCCAAATATGTTTAACCCCGCCACATTCTGTATGTGCCTGTCCCAAGTCAGGGGCCTGTAATTCAGTGGTTGTTGTTTGTTGCTGTGTAACATATTTGTTTTTCATTCATTATTTTGTACAAAAATCGGGCCATTAGTTTTCTCGTTTGAATCGTTTAACATTTTTCATTTCGGGGCCTTTTATAGGTGACTATGCGGTATAATGAAGGCTGTACGATGACCTATAGTTGTTAATTTCTGTGTCATTTGGTCTCTTGTGGAGAGTTGTCTCATTGGCAATCATACCACAACTTCTTATTTTTATATCTAGAGTCAGTTACAGAAGTCAGACTGAAAAGTCTTAACATATGCATTTTATGGTTAGTTACCAGCATTTTTCAGTTTAAAATTATTGTGTCAAGGGTTACTGATATAAGTACCAATTTAGTATTTTATGGAGGTATGAATGTAAGGTGGCTTTTGACACTGAATTTTTGCCTTATACTGATTGAGCCTTGTTTTTAGATTTGAGCAAGACTGCTTTTTATAACACAAAATTGTAAACCAGGCAAATTTTACCTTTTCCCATCACTTTTGTGTTCACCTCTGTTTGGTTTTGTAAACTTTGCTGTCATCCTCCTCGGGTCATTTGGTTTGTTTGCATCAAATGATACTGCCAACAAACTAACATGGCCTTTGTTATTGTTGTTATATCATATATAGAGCTAAAACACTTAACTTTATTGTTTCCCTGCATGGTAATGTCTTCTTAAGACCAAGTACCTATGAGATCCTTTTTGTGAAGGAAATGTTTTACATGTAATAGGGAAATGAAACAATTCTGGATAAAAAGATAAAGAAAAAAAGAGACTTCATGATATAGCAAATGTGTGAGTTGGACTGCACATTTAATTTTTTCATGGTGGAATATATTAGGGCATGTCGGAATCACTTGTATGTGGGTGTGTTAATTTCTTTGTTATAACCAATTGATAACTTTTGAAAACCTTTTTGAAGATTTTATCAAAAACACTCAATTGTTGTTCTTAACTTGAGTGTATTTTGGAAAACCTAAGTGGTTCAACTGCATGAGCATATCCCATTTTTATACGACAGCAAAACATTTTTTGCGTCGTATATTGGTATGATGTCGTTGTCTGCGTTGGCGTCGTCCAAAGACGCATTTGGTTTGCAGACAATAACTTTAGTTAAAGTGAATGGATCTCTATGAAATTTTACCGGAAGGTTCAATACCACAAAAGGAAGCTTGGGATTGATTTTCGGGGTTATGGTACCAACAGTTTAGAAATTAGGGGCCAAAAACATGCGTTTTTGTTGTTTCCGGACAATAACTTGTGTGTAAGTATATGGATCTTTCTGAAATTGTACCACAAGGTTCCATATCACAAAGGGAAGGCTGGGATTGAGTTTGGGGGTAATTGCCTTAAATGTTCAGGAATTAGGGGCCAAAAAGGGGCCAGACAAGCATTTTTCTAGTTTCCAGACAATAACTTGTGTTAAGTGTATGGATCTCTTTGAAATTGTAATGCAAGGTACCATACCACAAAGGGAAGGCTGGGATTGAGTTTGGGGGTAATTGCCCCAAACGTTCAGTAATAAGGGGCCAAAAACAAGCATTTTTCTAGTTTCCAGACAATAACTTGTGTTTAAGTGTATGGATCTCTCTGAAATTGTACTGCAAGGTACCATACCATATGGGGAATGCTGGGATTGAGTTTGGGGATAAAAAGAAATTTGGGGGGGGGGATTTTTTTTTTCTTAAAATTTTTCATTTTTACATTGATTCTTTCTGATTTATATATAAAAGCAAAAAATACTGATGTGGCAGGAGATACACACCAAACATGATGTGTAAATTATATGAAGTATTGCACAGTATTGCGCAATAGCAGGAAATCTTCAATTGCATAGTATTGCGCTATAGCACAGTATTGTGCAATAGCAAGAAATCTTCAATTGCACAGTATTGTGCAGTAGCACAATAGCAAGAAATCTTCAAATGCACGTACAGTATTGCACAATAACAAAAAATCTTCAATTGCACTGTATTGCGCAATAGCAAGAAATCATCAATTGCACAGTATTGCACAATAGCAAGAAATCTCTAATTGCATAGTATTGCGCAAAAGCAAGAAATATCCAATTACACAGTATTGTGCAATAGCAAGAAATATCTGATTGCACAGTATTGTGCAATACATGTATAAGCATATTTGTAAGTTAAATTGTTTAGAAGTGCTTATATTTACTCTTTGCAGTCATTGAAACTCATAGATCTTTCCTGAATATTATTGGTGGGGTGTTTTTGTCCTGTCGATAACCCAAAAGTAAGTCGTAACGCCTAAATCTGCTTTTTTGTCACAGCGGCATAAAAAATACAAGCTAGAAATACAAAAATATCTCAACAAAACTTACAATAGTGTGTTCTATCCTGAATATGTACTAAATATTCCATATTGCTAGAAACAGCAGAATAATTTAGGAAATTTAAGGCCCCAGGGGCAAAAACCAGAGAAAATTGCCTACCCCCTGGGTCATAAAACAAATAATTTAACTTGTAAATGCTATGATTTTATGATTTTAAAGGTCTTTATATAGAAAACAATAACTGCGCTTGGAAGTTATGCAAAAATTAGATGTTAGCAGTCATTTCTATAACATTTTAAGTGAATTTATACATCAGACTGGTATCTGCATACATACAACTATTGCAAATATGGCTTTGTTTTAACACTTCTAGCTCATATATTAGCTAAATTATGTCAGATATATGGTTAGAGATGATACTGTTGTGACAAGAATTCTAAACTGACCATTTGAGGCAGAAATTGTGAACTTTCATTGACAAATAGGCATACAGTAAAATGTGGACTGGAGACACAGGCAGGATTTGATACTTTATATAATCTTGAATGTTGGAATGATTGACTGCTAAACATAACATTTACAGTGTTCTGAAATGCTTTCAATATGTTATCAGAACAGTTTTAAACAGGTTCTAGGCATTTCATGTCAGAAAACATGCAAATAGGGTAAGCTGGCAATAATTAAAGTCTTGTTTTCAAATTCTTTAAAAAATTGAAACAGGGGAGGGGGTATCAAATGAACAGTAAAAGAAAACTTAGAGTTTATGCAGTTATTTCTTTAAGGCTATAATTCTGATAAATAAGTATTAATGTGAGAAAAAGTGTTTTTAGAGAGTTTTCTATAGGAATAAATGTTTGTATAGGTTGCACTTTGTAAATACAGCTGTTTCTCAAACCACGCCTCTTTTGGGGAGATATAGAATATTCATAGATAATTAATTTTGTTTACATACTGGTTCCCAGTTATGATCTCTAGGTTTCATCTGATAGAGACATAACTTGGGAATGTTACCAGTAAATATACATATGCATATTGTCTATATAGAAATCTGTGGTAATCCTACAGTCAAGGTGGGGATAGTTAAGAAATTTAGTGTTAGTTTAAACTCTTAGAAGTTCAGGGCATATAAACGTTGAAAATTTACCGCACAGCCCTATATTTTGACCTTTGAAAAAAATTGTAGTGCATATGAACTTTCCATTCTAGGATATGATTTTTTTTAAAACTTCATAGTAAAAGTGGTAGAGTTTTAGATGTAAAAGGAGTTCCTATGGGAAATTGCATTGTCAATATTAACAGAAATGCAACCTATATTGGGTGAAAAAAGATAACATACAGAATTTAACCAAATTTGGTGTATCTCACAGATTTTAAAGAAATATTTTACAAATAAAAAAAATACTGATATGGCAGGAGATACACACCAAACATGATGTGTAAATTATATGAAGTATTTTGCAATAGCACAGTATTGCACAATAGCAGGAAATCTTCAATTGCATAGTATTGAGCTTTAGCACAGTATTGCCCAATAGCAAGAAATCTTCAATTGCACTGTATTGCGCAAAGAAATCATCAATTGCATAGTATTGTGCAATAGCAAGAAATCTTCAATTGCACAGTATTGCGCAATAGCAAGAAATGTCCGATTGCACAGTATTGTTCTATTTGCGCAATAGCAAGAAATCTCCAATTGCATAGTGTTGCGCAATAGCAAGAAATATCCAATTGCACAGTATTGCGCAATAGCAAGAAATATCTGATTGCACAGTATTGCGCAATAGCAAGAAATCTTCAATTGAAAATTAAATACAAATATTTCAACCCATTTCAAATTTTTAAGATCTTTTACCACATTTATTTTGTGTCAGAAACCTATATTATGTCAAAAATTTGATCACAATCCAAATTCAGATAGTATCAAGCTTGAATATTGTGTCCAAACTTGCACCAACTGTTGAGGGTTCGACCTCTGCAGTCGTATCAGGCTGCGCTCGGCGAAGCATTTTATTAAAATTACTAAATTGAAGGGTTAATAGGTTTTTATAGGCATTAAATAGATAACAGGTAATTATTTTGGTTGAGATTGTTGCAAACCAGTAGAAGGTGGTCGTAAATCAAATTCTCTACAGACGTAAATGAAACACCCAATATATTCAGACATATTTAAATTTTGAGGCATTTGTGTCGAGGAAAATATTAAAAAAAGATTTTTATTTATTTTTTAGAGGAAATGCATAACTTTAGACAATACAAAACAGCAGCAAATAAGCCTTCGTTGTCAACCAAAGATGAGAAACAACCAAGTGCTCAGTCCAGTGTTCCAAAACCTGGGAACGTTGGTGACCAAGGGACACAGACAAGACCAAATGATTCACAAGTCCATAAAGATGGACAGGCTACACAAACAAGACATGTTGATCCACAAGTTCTTAAAGAAAGAGGGAATGAAGAATTCAAAAAGGGAAACTATTTAATGGCAGCTGAAATATACACTGAGGCTATTGGTGTACAGAAAGCCAAGATGAAAGAACATGTTCATCATAGTAGAGATCTAGCTATATTATATGGTAATAGATCAGAATGCTTCTTGAAGACCTTTGTATTAGATAGAGCTTTGGAGGATGCTAAGGAGAGTGTTTCTTATGATGGTCATTGGTTCAAAGTAAGTTTCTTGTTTCAATCTTACGGTACAAATTTACTATATGTGTGTATGCAGATTTCATCTGTGGCAAAACCATGAAACTACAATTTTCCTTTAATGTATAAAAATTAGTATCCATGGAAATAAATCAATCCACAGAATTATATAATTCATCATGCATGGAAGGAAGTGATTGCCATTGATTTTTGCAGAATGTCAACTGATTCTTTATGAATAATAAGACATTTTTAGCAACACAAGGTTTCTCTATTGTAAAGAATGTCTTTCATCTTGATATAAAAAAATATTTCTTGCTAAATGGTGATTATGTTCTGACAACCTGCCAATTCATTAATTCAGATGTCCATTCAGTATGGTTTGCTTAATCTGGTGCCTCTAAAAATGTTTGGAAAATGACATGAATTCTGTACATTAAAGGGGCCCAATACAGCAATACTTTGAGAATAGTCCATAGGTGATGCAACAGATCTTACCAAACTTTATGTTATTTCATTGTCTAGTAGAAGTCAAAATCATCTATCTAACGACTGAAATACTATGCATATATGATAAATATATTTCAGAATCATTGGTTTGAGTGGAGAACCATCAAGGACTATCCCTGAATACAAGCTTACTAATGCTTTGAATAATTTTATTTCAGGCACACATGAAAGTAGGTAAAGTGTTAGCTGCCCAAGAGATTCATGAAGGAGCATTACAGGCCTACACAAATGCTCTCAATGAACTGGCCTTAGAAAAGGCACCAGAGAAATCACAGCGGGAGATATTGGCATCTTACTGTTTCCATTACATGAACCTAGATAAATACAGATGTAAGTATATAGATCTGTGTTGTTTAAATAGACTTAGTGCTGAAACATGGAAGAATCATCATCTCAGTTTGTATAGAACTTAATTTCATAGGTGAAAATTAAAGGGGAGGACTTACAGAATTTCTATCCTGTTTTGTGCATAGTGCAAATACAGTTTGTATTTATCAGACAATGTTGAGTTATTCCTTTTATACTACAATTCTTTACCCAAATATTTTGGCTAAAAATCTTGGAATTGTTTTACATGAAGAAGGCACTAAAAATTCTTCAAACCTATATTCCTTCTCAACATCATAAATGAAATTCTAAGGAAATACTGTTCACATTATAAACGAAGCTTGATATGATCAGTGACTGATCACAACTGTTTCTACAGTAAGTTCAATTTAACTGTGCAAATAGAATGGTTGCAGCATAAAATAAAAATTGTTTTCATTGTTAGACATGGAATAAAAAAAGAGATATTTTGACAGTCTAAATATCAATATGTTATACTTATTTCAGATCCAGTTGAAAAGAAAGTGACAGATATAAAAATAGCAACTCACACCTGGGCTATGGTCACTTATGATTTCATTGCCAAAGGTAACTGGCACATAGCCACATTCTCTTACATACAGTTTGAATGTGATCCAAGACCAAGGAACAAAGTAGAAAAGGTGAACCTTCGACCTATATGTGTATTGCAACACGTGAAGAATTGTGCGTGGTGTATTGACCTGCTGGAGTACTTCCTGACTTGTGGATCAGACTACAATACCATGACAACCTACACTGGTGACAGATATTTCCATGCTACAATCAGACTGTGTATCGCTTCAGGTAGTTTATTCTCAGTTATAGTCTTTTGTATTGTATAATTTCAGAATATGCATGTCATGTTTAACCCTGCAACATTCTGTATGTGCCTGTCCCAAGTCAGGAGCCTGGAATTCAGTGATTGTCATTTGTTGCTGTATATCATATTTGTTTTTCCTTCAATGTTTTGTACATAAACCAGGCAGTTAGTTTTCTCGTTTGAAATGTTTAACATTTGTCATTTGGGGCCTATTATGGCTGACTATGCAGTATGGGTTTTGCTCATTGTTGAAGACCGTAAGGTGACCTATAGTTAACTTGTATGTCATTTGGTCTCTGGTGGAGAGTTGTCTAATTGGCAATCATACCACATCTTCTTATTTTTATATTGTTAAGTATATAAAGCTGAATGAAGTTGTGAAGTACTGTGGATTCATTTCTTTTCGTGGGTACCAATTTTCGTGGATTGATGAATTCTTCTACTTTTGTGGATATTTGAATCCATGGTTTTGCCAAAGTCTGAATAACAAGATTATAGAAAATTTGTACATTTAGATTTGTGGTTTACCCAGGAATTCTACGAAAATTGGTATCCTAGGAATAGTGATGAATACACAGTATGTGATGTGTTTGTGATCAGTGTTATTTAATGTTATTACCAGTTTTATTATATTGATGGGTATTACTTTATATTTTGTTATAAGTTTTTAAAAATTCAAAATAAATTTTCAATGAAATATATATCACTGTCTTCAACATTCAGAAATAAAATAATAGAAACCTAAGATTTCAAATGCCTGCCTAATTATTACCATTTTAATATTATTTGTAGAAAAATTTGTTCTGTTAGAATATGTACTTTCAAACATTGTTGTACAAAAAGGAGACCAAAATTTGCAGGATGACAAAGGAAACACAGCTCTTCACACCGTCGCAAGAGACCAAGAAGTAGATGGAATAACTAGGCTTAGATTCATTATCATGTTGATTGAAGCCGGGGTCAATCCACTCATCAAAAATTATGAAGGGAAATATGGGGTAATATACCTTCCAAGAAATGAACAGAGAGCCATAGAGATTCTTAACAATGTAATGAGACAACAAGAAGGTACAAGTTCATACTAAAATTATATTGAATATTGAGTCTTTTTTGATAGTGATTTTTATAATATGCATATTATTTCTGACCTGGCCAAAAGGGTCACATGAGCTATTGCTTTAAATCTCTTGTCTTCCCTCATTGGTGGTGTTAACTTTTTAAAAGTTTAAAGATCTTCTCCTCTGAAACAACTTAACCAATTCCATCCAAATTTTGGATGAATGATCCATAGGATATCTACTATAAAGTTTGTGATGTTTTTTTTCAGTCAGTCAATTAACATCACCGCCATGGGTAAAAATAGAACATGCAGATAAAATGCATTGATTGTCTTATATCTTGAATACTATAATAGATAGAGAAAATCTGACATGGTGGTAGTTTTTGGTTAATGTCTGTCATATTTGTTTTTTGCAAATTGTTTTGTTATTAATTAGGCTGTTAGCTCTCTCAATTGAATTGTTTCATATTTTTAGCTCACCTGACCTGAAAGGTCAAGTGAGCTTTTCTCATCACTTTGCGTCCGTCGTCCGTAAACTTTTACAAAAATCTTCTCCTCTGAAACTACTGGGCCAAATTTGACCAAACTTGGCCACAATCATCATTGGGGTATCTAGTTTAAAAAATGTGTCCGGTGACCCGGCCAACCAACCAAGATGGCCGCCATGGCTAAAAATAGAACATAGGGGTAAAATGTAGAATTTGGCTTATATCTCTGAAACCAAAGCATTTAGAGCAAATCTGATGGGATAAAATTGTTTATTAGGTCAAGATCTATCTGCCCTGAAATTTTCAGATGAATCGGACAACCCGTTGTTGGGTTGCTGCCCCTGAATTGGTAATTTTAAGGAAATTTTGCCGTTTTTGGTTATTATCTTGAATATTATTACAGATAGAGATAAACTGTAAACAGCAATAATGTACAGCAAAGTTAGATCTACAAATAAGTCAACATGACCAAAATTGTCAATTGACCCCTTAAGGAGTTATTGCCCTTTATAGTCAATTTTTTACAATTTTCATAAATTTTGTAAATTTTTGTAAATTTTTACAATATATTTTCCACTGTAACTACCGGGCCAAGTTCATTATAGATAGAGATAATAGTAAGGAGAAAGAATGTTCAGTAAAGTAAGATCTACAAACATATCACCATCACCAAAACTCAATTTTGTCATGAATCCATCTGTGTCCTTTGTTTAATATGCACTTAGACCAAGGTGAGCGACACAGGCTCTTTAGAGCCTCTAGTTCATGTTGTGGCCTTTTATAGCCGACTAAACGGTATGGGTTTTTATACGACCGCAAAAAATCTTGAGGTCGTATATTGGTATTACGCCGTCGTCGGAAGACAGTTGGTTTCCGGACAATAACTTGAGTATAATTAAATAGAAATCTATGAAATTTAAACACAAGGTTTATAACCACAAAAGGAAGGTTGGGATTGATTTTGGGGGTTATGGTCCTAATAGTATAGTTAGGAATTAGGGGCCAGAATAAGCATTTTTCTAGTTTCCAGACAATAACTTGTGGAACGGTGTATGGATCTCTCTGAAATTATACCACAAGTTTCCATACCACAAAGGGATGGTTAGTATTTGCTTTGGGGGGTTATGGCTCAAACCGTTTAAAAATTAGGGGCAAAAAAGGGGGAAAAACAAGGGTTTCCTGGTTAATGGACAGTAAAGACAATTTAAAAGCAGTGTAAGGGAGGTAATCCAAACACAACGTTTTGATTACCTCCCTTACACTGCTTTTAAATTATGTATAAAAAATACGCAACAGCATAGTATATTGCACAAAAGCAAAAAAAAAAGGGGATGGTCAATTTTTTATTTTTTTTGTGGGGGAGGGGGGTCAATTCGCAACAAAAGCAAAAAATTGAATATAAATTCAAATCATATAACCAATTCTAAGTTCTTTGACTACTGTTATTCTGTGTCAGAAACCTATTATGTGTCAAATATTTATTTACAATCCAAATTCAAACCTGTATCAAGCGCGAATATTGTGTCCATTTTTGCCCCAACTGTTCAGGGTTGGACCTCTGCGGTCATATCCAGCTGTGCTCGGCGAAGCAATTTATTCTCATTGTTGAAGGCTGTACGGTTGCCTATAATTGCTAACATTCACTTTGATTTGAACTTTGGTGTTGGCAATCATACCACATCTCCTTGTAGATTTATAATATTTTGTATGCACTTGTATAAGCATTAGCACATCTTATTTCCACGGAGATTATTTGGATCCATCTTCTCAGTCATGGTCTATTGACTTTGAAAACTTTTGGATTGGTTACATGTTAAAGTTTGTGATTAGGTCAGTTTAAGGGGAACCACATATGATAAGTCTGATATTTGGTATGCAATTGTATTAACATTGGCACATGACTGAGTATTTTACATCATTTACATTTTAAAGTACATGTTTTGCTATTTTAATTTTTACTTTTGCAATTTATGTCAAATTGTATAGAGGGGAGACTTACCTCTGTGTCATTAGTTTTAATATTAGCACACTGTGTTTTGGCATACAATATTGGTGCTATGTTGTTTCTTTCTTTGCCTGTTTGAAAAAAAGGGGCAGTTTAAGAGCCTTCATTAGACTGAGAGGATGATTGGAAGAATATACATTTTTAGCTGAATTAAAGGTTGTGATGGAACTTGTGGTGTACGTTCTCAATTAAATTTCTTATTCAAATACTTCTATTTTATCATTTTCTTCGTATACTGTGACTTTACTCATACATCTTAATCTATATTCATCTGCAGATGTAGAAAAGAAAATTAAGCAGCAAAAAATGCAACAGCAACAACAAGAAGAAGCTAGAAAACAACAAAGTCAGAGCAAACCTAATGCTTCAGCTACACCTCAAGGGAGACAACCACAGCACAACAGACGACAGGAAGATGAAACATGGAAACAGTCTTATATGCCTAAACAACCCACAAGACCGGCATATGATAAATGTCTTAAATGTGACAGGATTTTTGAGGAATGGCAAACAAAAATCAAAACCAAGACTTGGTATGCCTATATAAACATGGCAAGTGTGATCAAAGAGAACAGTCATAATAAAGAGAGACATCAAAAGATTGTGGATGAGATGCTGTCCATGATTACAGATTCTATTGCTCAAACTCTTAATCCAGGTACTTTTTATACACTAGTTAGAAAATCATTTCTGAATGAGATTCTTGCTAGTAGAGATGTTGATTGTGGGATTCACAATGTATGGTACATTTAATTGACGTTTTGTATTTTCTAGTGTTTTAGCAGTGCTCAAAACTAAAGGTAGCCCAGTCGCCAGAGGCAACCAATTTCTGATTGGGACCACCAAATTTGATGAAATACGAACATTTACTGGCCCAAATAAATTCAAGTTTAGCGAGTTTCTGAAGTTCATTTTTGTCGAGCCTTCGACTTTTGTCGAAAAAGCGAGACATAGCGATCCTACATTCCGTCGGCGGCGTCCACAAATATTCACTCTGTGGTTAAAGTTTTTGAAATTTTAATAACTTTCTTAAACTATCCTGGATTTCTACCAAACTTGGACAGAAGCTTGTTTATGATCATAAGATAGTATCCAGAAGTAAATTTTGTAAAAAAAAAATTCGATTTTTTCCGTATTTTACTTATAAATGGACTTAGTTTTTCTGCCAGGAAACATTACATTCACTCTGGTTAAAGTTTTTAAAATTTTAACAACTTTCTTAAACTATCCTGGATTTGTACCAAACTTGGACAGAAGCTTGTTTATGATTAAAAGCTAGTATCTAGAAGGAAATTTTGTTAAAATTTTGTTCCATTTTTTCCGTGTTTTACTTATAAATGGACTTAGTTTTTCTTCCAGTTAACATTACATACAGTCTGCAGTTTAAGTTTTTAAAACATTTATTAGATTCATAAACCATAGGCGGATCCAGGGGGGCGGGCCAGGCCCCCCCCTTCGTGGGAAAAATTTGGTTGATTATATAGGGAATCACTGAAGCATGACTGGAGCGGGCCCCCCCTTATGAAAAGTTCTGGATCCGCCACTGTAAACTATCCTGGATTTTTACCAAACTTGGACAGAAGCTACTTACAATCAAAAGATAGTATAGAGAGGAATATTTTTATTAATTTTTTTCCTCATTTTTGTTGAGCCTGTGATTAACAGCAAAAGTAGGCGAGACACTGGGTTCTGCGGAACCCTTACGAATTTTTTCTGTATTTTGTCCTTTTGGTAAAAATACATTTCTTCTGTTTCCTCCTGAAGACCTCAAATACTATCCTGGTGCTAAAGAAGTGTCCCTGATTCCAGTTTCAGCCGATGTCAGATACGTTTCTTTTCGTGATAATGATAGAAACCAATAAGAGGCCTTGCTGCTAGTGACGTTGCATGCTGTATTTGGTAACTCTCATTACTTGTACAACAATGACTGCGGCTTCTTGAAGTATTTTAAGAGCGTCCATCAGAAATTTTTCGGCAAATAAATTTGTTACTCAAATTTTTTTGACTTCAATTAAGGTTTCATCCATTTCTTTCATTAAAAATGTAATATTCCTTTTCAAATTGCTTGTCAAACTGTTTGTTTTTATAAATTTTTCTCAGTCCGCCATTGAAATATTTAAACTAATCATGGATTGAAGGCAGATCAGCTATGACAAATCTGTATACTAAAGATGATAGTTATCATTTTTATGCCTCCGCCGTAGCGGAGGGGGCATTAAGTTTTACCCTTGTCTGTCTGTCCGTCCGTACGTCCCAAAATTGGTTTCCGTTCTCTAACTTTAGTTTGCCTCAACCAAATGTTATGAAACTTATAAACAATGCTTATTACCACAATACGCAGATTAAATTTGAATTTTGGGGTGTCACTTTTACTGTTGTAGAGTTATGCCCCTTTACAAATGGAAAAATTGCTAAATTTATTTTTTTTCCAAAAATATCAATGTCATTATTCAAGTATATTTTAGAATTGGAGTTATCTTCCTTTGTCCATGATTATAGTTAAATCAACTACAATCAATGCTTTATACAATACAATGTTTAATTTTGCCCTCCACTGATAAAACACAGATCAAGTTGAATTTGGGTAGTGTCACTTTAACCATTATTGAGTTATGCCCCTTTATAAATCGAAAAATTGCAATATTTTTAGTTTCCATTCTGTAACTTAAATTTTGCCCTAACCAAACATTATGAAACCTATACACAATACTCATTACCACAAAACTAAGATCAAGTACAAATATTGTTTCCGTTCTCTAATTTTAGTATGCCTCAACCAAATGTTATGAAACTTATACACAATGCTTATTACTACATAATACAGATTATGTACGAAATTCGATGGCATCACTTTTACCATTCTTGAGTTATGTCCCTTTATAAACATAAAAATTGCTGAATTTTCTGTTTCCGTTCTCTAACTTTAGTTTGTCTCAACCAAATGTTATAAAACTTATACACAACAGATCTAGAGTTATGTGTGTTTACAAATAGAAAAATTGCTGAATTTTTCGTTTCTGTTCTTTACTTTAGTTAGCCTCAACCAAATGTTATGAGACTTACACACAATGCTTATTACCACAAAACTCAGATCAAGTTCAAATTTGGGTAGCGTCACTTGTACCGTTCTTCAGTTATGTCCCTTTATAACTATATGATATGCAAGCGGGGGAATCATCTGTGTCCACATGTGGACACAATCCACATTTATTTTTATCAAATTTGAGTCTTTGAAAAAAGTGGTGGCCCAATTTTTTATTAGAATGCAAAAAATTTGAGTTCGTATAATGCTATCATGTCGTCGGCGTCGACATTGTCTTCTGAAGACACATTTGGTTTCCGGACAATAACTTAAGTGTCAGTGAATGGATCACTATGAAATTTTAACAGAAGGTTCATTACCACAAACGGAAGGTTGGGATTGATTTTGGGGGTTATAGTACCAACAGTTTAGGAATTAGGGGCCAAAAACAAGCATTTTTGTAGTTTCCGGACAACAACTTGTGTGTAAGTGTATGGATCTTTCTGAAATTGTACCACAAGGTTCCATACCACAAAGGGAAGGCTGGGAATGAGTTTGGGGGTAATTGCCCCAAACACTTAGAAATAAGGGGCCAAAAACAAGCATTATTGTCGAGTCTGTGACTTTTGTTGCAAAAGCGAGACATAGTGATCTTACATTCCGTTGTCAGGGGCGGCGGCGGCTTCCACAAATATTCACTCTGTGGTTAAAGTTTTTGAAATTTTAATAACTTTCTTAAACTATTCTGGATTTCTACCATACTTGGACAGAAGCTTGTTTATGATCATAAGAGAGTAAATTTGGTAAAAAAAATCCTGTTTTTCTGTATTTTACTTATAAATGGACTTAGTTTTTCTGCCAGTTAACATTACATTCACTCTGTGGTTAAAGTTTTAAAAATTTTACAGCCGATTTCAATGAGTGTGTAGGAAAAGGTAATATCTTTTGGTTAGCTTGCTTGCTAGCTGAACCGTGAAGTCATTATTAGGTTAAGTAAACTACCCTCCTTTTTAGCTCACCGGGGCCCTTCGGGCCCCATGTGAACTTATGCCATCACTTGGCGTCCGTCGTTGTCTGTTGTCGTAAACTATTTCAAAAATCTTCTCCTCTGAAACTTCTGGGCCAAATACCTTCAAACTTTAACTAAATGTTCCTTAGGGTATCTAGTTTATAAATTGCATCTGAAGTTTTGATCCATCGACAAACATGGCCGCCATGGCTAAAAATAGAACATAGGGGTCAAATGCAGTTTTTGGCTTATATCTCAAAAACTAAAGCTTTTAGAGCAAATCTGACATGGGGTAAAATTGTTCAATTGGTCAAGATCTATCAGCTTTCAAATTTTCAGACGAATCAAACAACCCATTGGTGGGTTGCTGCCACCGAATTGGTAGTTTTAACAAAATTTTGCAGTTTTTTGTTATTATTTTGAATATTATTATAGATATATATAAACTGTAAGCAGCAATAATGTTCAGCAAAGTAAGATCTACAAAAAAGTTAATATGACCATAATTGTCAATTGACCCCTTAAGGAGTTATTGCCCTTTAAAGACAATTTTACACAATTTGTTCATCAAGTTTGCTAACATTTAAAAATCTTCTGAAATACAGGTGAGCGATTCAGGCTCTTGAGAGCCTCTTGTTGAGTAGACGAGTCCGACAGACAGATAGAATTGGTTACCTGTGGGACTAGTCTACTCATAAAGGAGGGTAGTTTACCTAACCTAATAATGACTTGACAGTTCAGCTAGCAATCAAGCTAACCAAAGATATTACCTTTTCCTACACACTCATTGAAATCGGCTGTAATAACTTTCTTAAACTATCCTGGATTTGTACCAAACTTGGACAGAAGCTTGTTTAAGATCAAAAGCTAGTATCTAGAAGAAAATTTTGTAAAAATTTATTTCCTGTTTTTCCATATATATTACTTATAAATGAACTTAGTTTTTCTTCCAGTTAACATTACATACAGTCTGCAGTTAAAGTTTTTAAAACATTAATTAGATTCATAAACCATCCTGGATTTTTACCAAACTTGGACAGAAGCTTCTTACAATCAAAAGATAGTATCTAGAGGAAAATTTTTAATGATTTTTTCCCCATTTTTGTTGAGCCTGCAACAAAAGTGAGACATAGTGATCCCACATTCTGTCTTCATCACACTGAAAACATAGACAACAGCAAAAGTAGGCGAGACTCTGGATTCCGCGGAACCTTTACAAATTTTTCTAGTTTCCAGACAATAACTTGTGTTAAAGTTTATGGAACTCTCTGAAATTGTACATTTTTCCAGAAAGAAAATAATCATCCAAAATTTCCAAAAAAGATTGGGAGGGTTCAAAAAGTTTGGGAAGGGGTGATTTTTCTTCAAAATTTTTTTTTTGGGGGGAAATTTTTTTTCATAATTTTTTTTATTTTTTTTCCCCAAAAATTTTCCATTTTTACATTGATTATTTTTGATATATACATAAAAGCAACAAATACTGATATGGCAGGAGATACACACCAAACAGCGTGTGTAAATTATTATATATAACTGATTAACTAAGTATTGTGCAACAGCACAGTATTGCGCAATAGCAAGAAATCTTCAATTGAAAATAAATACAAATCTTTTAACCAATTTCAATGGGATTGAATTTTTTCTTTAATTTTTGGAGTATCTAACCTTGTATTACTATTTTGGATATTAGGCCCCATTTTTAAATTGGTCTACATTGAGGTCCAAAGGGTCCAAAATTAAACTTTGTTTGATGTCATCAAAAACTGAATTATTGCGGCTCTATGATATGCTGAATCTTATTGTGCATTTAGATTTTTTATTTTGGGCCCTGTTTTCAAATTAGTCCATATTAAGGTTTGAAGGGTCCAAAATTAAACTTTGTTTGATTTTAACTAAAATTAAATTTTTGGTGTTTTTTTATATGCTGAATCTAACCATGTTGTTAGATTTTGGATATTAGACCATACTAGGTAAATTAAATGTCCCATTTCAACTTTTTAAGATCTTTGACCACATGTATTTTGTGTCAGAAACCTACATTATGTCAAAAATTTCATCACAATCCAAATTCAGACAGTATCAAGCTTGAATATTGTGTCCAAACTTGCCCCAACTGTTCAGGGTTCGACCTCTGCGGTCATATCAGGCTGCGCTCAGTGAAGCATTTTATTTTCATTTGGACCTCCAGGGTCAAAAAATGAGTATCGAGCACTGTTTAGTGACCAATTAATTGGTTAACCTTTGAAAGTAATAAGATTTAAATGGATACAGACTGTTTAGGGTTGTTTTTATAGTGACTCTTACTGTTTTTTCTCTTATGACTTGAAACTTTTGCTGGTGTATAAGTAAATAATGACATATGAAAGATGTCTTAAACTGTTAAAATGTAAAATATCTGAAAAATAAAGGTACTATAGCAGGTTTATAGTAAGTGATTAATTATTTCCCATAGGGTCCTATGTTAAACTAAGTCCCCCGCAGGCGGCCATTTTGGATTATGGATCGGCTTCAAAGTAACAACACTTGGTCAGAACTTTTCTCATCACTTGGCATCCGTCGTAGTCGTCGTCGTCGTTAACTTTTTACATTTTGAACTTCTTCTAGAGAACCACTGAATGGAATGAAACCAAACATGGCATGAATGTTCCTTATGAGGTGCTAACCAAGTGTTGTTACTTAAAAGCCGATCCATCATCCAAGATGGCCGCCTTCGGGGGACTTAGTTTAACATATGACCCTATGGGGAAATGCATACAAATGTCTTCTTTTAGAGAAGCACTGAATGGAATGAAACCAAACATGGCATGAATGTTCCTTATGAGGTGCTGACCAAGTGTTGTTACTTTGAAGCCGATCCATCATCCAAGATGGCCGCCAGCGGGGGACTTAGTTTAACATAGGACCCTATGAGAAATACATACAAATGTCTTCTTTTAGAGAACCACTGAATAGAATGAAACCAAACATGATATGAATGTTCCTTATGAGGTTCTGACCAAGTGTTGTTACTTTGAAGCCGATCCATAATCCAAAATGGCCGCCTGCGGGGGACTTAGTTTAACATAGGACCCTATGGGAAATACATACAAATGTCTTCTTTTAAAGAACCACTGAATGGAATGAAACCAAACATGGCATGAATGTTCCTTATGAGGTTCTGACCAAGTGTTGTTACTTTGAAGCCGATCCATCATCCAAGATGACCGCCAGCGGGGGACTTAGTTTAACATAGGACCCTATGGGAAATACATACAAATGTCTTCTTTTAAAGAACCACTGAATGGAATGAAACCAAACATGACCTGAATGTTCCTTATGAGGTGCTGACCAAGTGTTGTTACTTTGAAGCCGATCCATCATTCAAGATGGCCGCCAGCTGGGGACTTAGTTTAACATAGGACCCTATGGGAAATACATACAAATGTCTTCTTTTAGAGAACCACTGAATGGAATGAAACCAAATATGGCATGAATGTTCCTTATGAGGTGCTGACCAAGTGTTGTTACTTTAAAGCCGATCCATCATCCAAGATGGCCGCCTTCGGGGGACTTAGTTTAACATATGACCCTATGGTTAAATGCATACAAATGTCTTCTTTAAGAGAAGCACTGAATGGAATGAAACCAAACATTGCATGAATGTTCCTTATGAGGTGCTGACCAAGTGTTGTTACTTTGAAGCCGATCCATCATCCAAGATGGCCACCAGCGGGGGACTTAGTTTAACATAGGACCCTATGGGAAATACATACAAATGTCTTCTTTTAGAGAACCACTGAATAGAATGAAACCAAACATGATATGAATGTTCCTTATGAGGTTCTGACCAAGTGTTGTAACTTTGAAGCCGATCCATAATCCAAAATGGCCGCCTGCGGGGGACTTAATTTAACATAGGACCCTACGGGAAATACATACAAATGTCTTCTTTTAAAGAACCACTGAATGGAATGAAACCAAACATGGCATGAATGTTCCTTATGAGGTTCTGACCAAGTGTTGTTATTTTGAAGCCGATCCATCATCCAAGATGACCGCCAGCGGGGGACTTAGTTTAACATAGGACCCTATGGGAAATACATACAAATGTCTTCTTTTAAAGAACCACTTAATGGAATGAAACCAAACATGGCCTGAATGTTCCTTATGAGGTGCTGACCAAGTGTTGTTACTTTGAAGCTGATCAATTATTCAAGATGGCTGCCAGCGGGGGACTAAGTTTAACATAGGACCCTATGGGAAATACATACAAATGTCTTCTTTTAGAGAACCACTGAATAGAATGAAACCAAACATGATATGAATGTTCCTTATGAGGTTCTGACCAAGTGTTGTAACTTTGAAGCCGATCCATAATCCAAAATGGCCGCCTGCGGGGGACTTAATTTAACATAGGACCCTATGGGAAATACATACAAATGTCTTCTTTTAAAGAACCACTGAATGGAATGAAACCAAACATGGCATGAATGTTCCTTATGAGGTTCTGACCAAGTGTTGTTACTTTGAAGCCGATCCATCATCCAAGATGACCGCCAGCGGGGGACTTAGTTTAACATAGGACCCTATGGGAAATACATACAAATGTCTTCTTTTAAAGAACCACTGAATGGAATGAAACCAAACATGGCCTGAATGTTCCTTATGAGGTGCTGACCAAGTGTTGTTACTTTGAAGCCGATCAATTATTCAAGATGGCTGCCAGCTGGGGACTTAGTTTAACATAGGACCCTATGGGAAATACATACAAATGTCTTCTTTTAGAGAACCACTGAAGGGAATGAAACCAAATATTGCATGAATGCGCCTAATGAGGTTCTGACCAAGTGTTGTTACTTTGAAGCCAATCCATCATCCAAGATGGCCGCCAGCGGGGGACTAAGTTTAACATAGGACCCTATGGGAAATACATACAAATGTCTTCTTTTAGAGAACCACTTAATGGAATGAAACCAAATATGGCATGAATGCTCCTTATGAGGTGGTGACCAAGTGTTGTTACTTTGAAGCCGATCCATCTTCCAAGATGGCCGCCATCGGGGGACTTAGTTTAACATAGGACCCTATGGGAAATACATACGAATGTCTTCTTTTAGAGAACCACTGAATGGAATGAAACCAAACATGGCCTGAATGTTCCTTATGAAGTGCTGACCAAGTGTTGTTACTTTGAAGCCAATCCATCATCCAAGATGGCCGCCAGCGGGGGACTAAGTTTAACATAGGACCCTATGGGAAATACATACAAATGTCTTCTTTTAGAGAACCACTGAATGGAATGAAACCAAATATGGCATGAATGCTCCTTATGAGGTGGTGACCAAGTGTTGTTACTTTGAAGCCGATCCATCTTCCAAGATGGCCGCCAGCGGGGGACTTAGTTTAACATAGGACCCTATGGGAAATACATACGAATGTCTTCTTTTAGAGAACCACTGAATGGAATGAAACCAAACATGGCATGAATGTTCCTTATGAGGTGCTGACCAAGTGTTGTTACTGTGAAGCCGATCCATCATCCAAGATGGCCACCAGCGGGGGACAGTGTTTAACAAAGGACCCTATGGACAATACATACAAATGTCTTCTTTTAGAGAACCACTGAATGGATTGAAACCAAACATCGCATGAATGTTCCTTATGAGGTGCTGACTAAGTGTTGTTACTTTGAAGCTGATCCTTCATCCACGATGGCCACCAGCGGGGGGACTTAGTTTAACATAAGATCCTATTGGAAATACATACAAATGCTTCTTCTAGAGGTGCACTGAATGGAATGAAACCAAACATGGCATAAATGTTTCTTATGAGGTGCTGATGAAGTGTTGCGATTTTGTTGCTGATTTACTGTACAAGATGGCCACCAGGATTTTTTATTAAATTACAGGGCCAATATTAAACCAAATTTGGCCTCACTCATTATTAGGGTATCTGTTATGATTTTAATCTATTTTAACATTATTTCCAAAACCAAAGTAGAATCAGGTGAGCGACACAGGCTCTAGAGAGAATCTAGTTTTGTTATGTGTCAGACTTTGTTCAGGTTTGATATGAATGAATTTGCAGTAAACCAAATTAGGAGTACTAAAATGAATTATTGTCATGAGTTGAGAGGTGCCTTAATCATTTCAATAGTGGTAATGATCAAATAAGTATTTGCCATACATATTTTTACTTACAGAAATACCAGAAAGATTGGTTAGGATACCTTACAAGTACTACCAGAGAATTGTGACAGGATTGGTCAAGGGAGAGAACTGGAGACAGTTGGATGTTGTAGTTGATGAACACAGGAAACATCATGGTCAGACTGACCTACTTGATTATGCTAAGGGTATCAAACTACCAAGAGTCATCATTCATTCCTCACTCAAAGGATCTCATCAGCTTCTGACAAAAATCATTGAATCTATGCTCAAAAGTGGTGCTGTTATTGAAAATGGTAGGTGATTGTAGTGAAGGAAAAATATATGTTCCTACCTCCTGACTGACCGTTTGATGATTGACCCTAAAACATTTTGTTGCCCTGTCAAAAAAAAAGAAGATAGCCTGAAAATGCCACTTTTTGACCCTTTAAAAACCAAAAGGTAAATATCTATTAAATTTATTTCTATTCCGTTATATTTGGAATTTCCCTATTCTATTTCTATCTTTAGACTTGTGGTACAAGTTTGGCTAGTATGTAAATCAGAAGTGGTCTGATGTTACTGTTGTTTTCTGCACGAATATTTCGAGGGCGGTAGTACGGGTGGGGTTTTATAGGCATATATAAGTCCTGATTACGTTTGATTATTATCGATGTGCTCCAGTAACTTTGATAGACGAAGTTAACGTTAAGCTCTGCATAATATATTACAGTTATGTTTGTATTGATATGTATTTAGAGGACATTGTGAATGTATATAGATGGAATTGTGGTATATTTTTGTAATTTGTAAAATGTTTACAAGATATTAAATGTTGTTTCGCTGAGAAAATAAGAAAGTTACTGCGAGCAAACAAACCTAAATTATGACTTGTCTCTTATTTAGCCATTTATTTAGTATAGAAATGTTTTAAATTCGGACGAATTCATGAGGGAGAATTTAAATGACATTCTTTGGGCATCGGTCTTTCATTTTTTTTAAAAATTCATGTATTCATGATATGGTCATGTGATGCCATTGTAGAATGAAAATAACACTAATTTAAGCTCATGGTACATTAAGTGGCTTATTTGGCCCATTAAATTTACCTAAAAAAAAAAACATTCCCTGATGTCTAATTTCGTAAGAATCAAGAAAAAATTTCAGAAAATTAGACTATCAGCAAAGCCTTTATGTCACAATTTGATTGTGACGTCATTAGCAAGATTTGTCAGATTTCACAAAAAAAAAGTCTTAATACTTAAAACTTAGCACAAGTGTTGCCCAAAACACTTTTGCCAGTGAATAGATGAACACAAATTACACTTGATATTTAAAATTAAGGAGTAATATTTGACATTATTTTGCCTTTTACTGAATTAATTTTCATTTCATGGCTATTTTCATTAAGTCAAAAGCTATTTTTATAACATTTCTAACAAATTTTTTCTTATGCAATTTAAAAAACTTATTTGATATTTATTTAGAATGGTGTGCTAAAAATAAACAAGCTAAGCACTACAATTGAGCAATAAACAAAAAAAGATTTAAAGGGTGATGACTTTTCGAAATTTCGTTATTTAGAGGGCAAGAGATGTATTCAGACAGCTGTACAGGAGGAACAATTTAAAGTATTGGAGACATTATTTAACCATGGAGCATGTCCATCACATCTGTCTGTCAATCAGGGAGACACTCCAATCCATGCTGCATTATCTATAGCAATAGAAAGGGATAGAGGTAAGTAAAGGGACAGATGTTTGTCAATCAGGGATACACTAATCCATGCTGCATTATCTATAACAATAGAAAGGGACAGATATCTGTCAATCAGGGAGATACTCTAATCCATGCTGCATTATCTTTAACAATAGAAAGGAACAGATGTCTGTCAATCAGGGAGACACACCCATCCATGCAGCATTATCTATAGCAATAGAAAGGGATAGAGGTAAGTAAGGTAATAAATGTCTGTCAATTAGGGAGATACTCTAATCCATGCTGCATTATCTATAACAATAGAAAGGGACAGATGTCTGTCAATTAGGGAGATACTCTAATCCATGCTGCATTATCTATAACAATAGAAAGGGACAGATGTATGTCAATCAGGGAGATACTCTAATCCATGCTGCATTATCTTTAACAATAGAAAGGGACAGATGTCTGTCAATCAGGGAGACACACCCATTCATGCTGCATTATCTATAGCAATAGAAAGGGATAGATGTAAGTAAGGTAATAAATGTCTGTCAATCAGGGAGATACTCTAATCCATGCTGCATTATCTATAACAATAGAAAGGAACAGATGTCTGTCAATCAGGGAGACACACCCATCCATGCTGCATTATCTATAGCAATAGAAAGGGATAGATGTAAGTAAGGTAATAAATGTCTGTCAATCAGGGAGATACTCTAATCCATGCTGCATTATCTATAACAATAGAAAGGAACAGATGTCTGTCAATCAGGGAGAAACTAATCCATGCTGCATTATCTTTAACAATAGAAAGGAACAGATGTCTGTCAATCAGGGAGATACTCTAATCCATGCTGCATTATCTTTAACAATAGAAAGGAACAGATGTCTGTCAATCAGGGAGATACTCTAATCCATGCTGCATTATCTTTAACAATAGAAAGGGACAGATGTCTGTCAATCAGGGAGACACACCCATCCATGCAGCATTATCTATAGCAATAGAAAGGGATAGAGGTAAGTAAGGTAATAAATGTCTGTCAATCAGGGAGATACTCTAATCCATGCTGCATTATCTATATCAATAGAAAGGAACAGATGTCTGTCAATCAGGGAGACACACCCATCCATGCATCATTATCTATAACAATAGAAAGGAACAGATGTCTGTCAATCAGGGAGATACTCTAATCCATGCTGCATTATCTATAACAATAGAAATGGACAGATGTCTGTCAATCAGGGAGATACTCTAATCCATCCTGCATTATCTTTAACAATAGAAAGGGACAGATGTCTGTCAATCAGGGAGACACACCCATCCATGCTGCATTATCTATAGCAATAGAAAGGGATAGAGGTGAGGAAGGTAATAAATGCCTGTCAATCAGGGAGACACACCCATTTATACAGCATTATCCAAAGCAATGAAATTAATTTAAAGAGCTTCCTTTAATTTGGTTTTAAGTGTCATGTGATCAATGTGTTGCTTATCAACTTCGTGTTTACCTACAACTTAAAGTTGGTTTCATAAGTAAGGAATAGTATCTTGTTTATGTTTGTTTGTTTCTTTCTTGTGTTTGGTTCAACTTTATTACTTTTCAGTCAAATAGCATAATGACTTTTTTTTATAGTGCACAAATCAGGAGAGCCTAGATTCAGTGGATTGAACCGCAGATCTTTGATAAATAATAAACATGTGTAGCATATAATGATAAATCTGGTATACATTTATGTTTCAAGTGCCAAACCCAAACATCTTGTTTATCTTACAATCAATCAATATAATAGTGTAATTTTATTCACAGGGAATTTCTCAATTTTCAACCTGTTTTTGGAAATGTTTGAAAAAGACCCAGAAAAATACCACATGTTAGATCCCAATGAACAGGATAAAAATGGAGACAGTCTGTATCACCTGGTTGCCAAAATGAAATATAATTCTACTGTTCAAAAAGCAACAGAACTTCTCTGTGACAAGAAAATTTCATCAAATGTAAAGAACAGTGAAGGCAAACTCCCAATTCATTATTTGAATGCTAAGAATGACCGTAGGCTTCAGTTCTTTAGATTGGCATCAGTTGGTGGGCCAACCAAAATTTCATCCAAAAAACCAAAAGCTACAGGACAGCAAAAAAAGTCTGTTAAAACCAAGGTAGATAACCAATCGTCGGAACAAAATGAAGCAATTACAGAGGCTGAAGCAGAAGATCTTCTGCAATATGAAAGAGCAGAGGAAGTGCCTACTATTGTAGAAAAACCTGTCATCAGACAACCATTAAGAAAAGAAGCTCTGAGAAGGAGAATTGAGGAGCTGATTTATGAACTGGATGATGTTGCTTACAGTAAATACTCCAGTAGAGCAGATAATTTAGAGAAACCCAGTAAAAAGTCCAAAAAAGAAAAAGCAGAACCTCAGGTAAAGCAGGCAATTGTAAGACAGAATATGTAGGTACATATAATTACCATTTTTGATAACCATCATAGGTCAAGGTGAGCCATACATCCTCTTTTTAGACCCATTAAGTTTGAGTTATAAAGGTTTCATTCAGTGGGACCCTTATCTTCATGTCTGTTATTTATTTACAAATGTCACGAACAGATACTGCTGTACAATTAAAATTTACCACATGTTTGTAATGAATAAAGTATATTAGGTACCAAATTCTCCAAATGACAAAATATTTCAGAATATGGCTGCACATAATCTACTGCTTTGTTTTGCTCTTTTAATTGCCTGTATAATTATTTGAAAAAAATACATTAAGAAGCCATAGTTTTTATCTTTTTTCCCCAGACACCTAAACCACAGGATACAGATCAAGGACCAGTTACTGTAGAACCTAAAGTGAACCAGGAACCAGAACCATTGCAGCTGGAAATAGAACAGGAATCAGACGATGATGAAGAAGAGAGTTTAGAAGAAAAGTTCCAGGTAAAGCTAAGTATTACTTTCAAATAGATGTGATATGTTTTTACTTTAGACACAGGTAATGTTTTGATGAATGTACATGTAAGAGGGTTCGGTTATTTACCAAAATGTACCTAAATGTTATTACATACCATAATTGACTTAACTAAATCAAGATGGAATTAAAAGCTTCCCATAGCTTATGTTTGCACTTTTCCTTGTACATATACAGACTAAATATATATACATAAAGCTTTATGTCTTTTGTTTGAGAAGGAAAAATATGTACTGGTGAATTGCATAAAATAATTGTTTTTCTTATTTTTATCTGATTTATCCTTTTCCTGACCTGTTGATTATTTTTATTTAATCAACGTGTGGTTTGTTTGATCTCATTTCTTCATTGGTTAAAATTGGATTATGACGTCAAAGTTTCTTGCTTTCCTTTGAATTTCCTATTGAAAAAAGGTGTTTATGTTTGATAACTTTACATAGAAAGAACACTATCTTTTTGCAGATGATTTGAAAATATTGATTAGAATTGTCTATATTGTCTATAAATCATTAGAGAAACAGATTCCACTACCAAATCTCGTCTTTAACTGTCTGGAGTAGATAATATGGTATCACACTTGATGCAGTGGTAGAATCTACAAATTATGTACTGTTTTTTTTTGTTTTTTTTTTTCAACTTGATACTCACGTAAAGAAGGCAGTATAGATCTCGATCCATCCACCCCATTTGATTTTTATTTAAAAGATGCTGTTGTCTTTGATAAAGATCATGTTTAACTTTACATGTTTTGATTGGTTAATTTTCATTGTCCATGTTGCTTCCTTTTGTTAATTAATTGCCTCACTTCAGTACATTAATTCTCCTTTTTGATCCATTTTGGTACATTATTACTATATTTCAGTACATTTTGGACATTATTAATCTTTTTTGGTCCACTTCACCCCGTTTGGATAGATACTACCCAAATGTATGGACTTAAGGACGTTCGCTACTCTGTTTCAAAATAACAAGCTTTTTAAAAGGCTGATTTAAATTGATAGTATATAAATAAAGAAACTAAAATAGCAGAAAAAAATGAAAGGTCTGTGTGCTTGTTTTCGAGATATAAACCATTGAAAATCTGGCGGGAAATAATTCTCTCTAGATTTTTCATACATTTATCATTGGCACCTTTTTTCTTTCAAAAACGATGAAAAAATAACAAGGATTTTATAAGATTTTCAAAATGACATTTTAAACTATATGTAATCAAATTATGGAAAGAAAAGTTGGGGTTAATGGGCAAATTTTTTTAATGGCACTACATGGATAAAACCAGAGGATTCCGAACATCTGACAAAAATTCAAAAACCCAGAGGAGCGAACATCCTTAAAAGTTTCTTTATGAAAGATTAAAACTTTAAAGGATAAAAAAATGTGAGTATTTTGATCATTCTGTCTTTGATCTTACCTACTCATATTGTTTCTATATAGCTATCAATGTACACAAAAATATCAAACATTGCCAATAATTACTGATGTCATACTCATTATGACATGCCTATAAACAAACTAATGTCACTTTAAAATGACTTTACAAATTGACACACATATACATATAGTGGCAAAAAATAATTAAAAACCTCAGTTGAAAACTTTATGTTGCCTTTGAAATTAAATATACTCAGAATTCTTTTAAAGGTACATGTATTAAAATATACTGGAAAAAGTATCAGTGACACAAACTAAAAGAGACAGTTTAAAATCTAGGAGTTTGTTAGAAGATATTAAAGATGAGATCTCATTTCAATTTCAAATTTGAAGAAACCATCAATGAAGCTTAAGTTATTTAAGATGAAACTAGAAACTTATACTGTGTCATATTTTGTCGTGGATGACTTCTATTACAGGTTCTACCTATTGTATTTATTGTTAATTTGTTCTCGTCCTGAACATGTATGAAATATTTACCACTGGACATTGAGCAAACAAAAATCGATCAATCCTATTGAATCAATTCTATTTTACAGTTTGATCCACAAGTATTTGAAAATTTAGAATGGGAGGTTGAATGTACTGCTGATGTATGGAAAGCCTTGAGGGACAAGCATGTTCTCCCAGAATTGAAACAAAGGATTGTCTGTAAGATTCAGCATCTGGCAGCTGGAGAATGGACTCAAATTCTGTGTAAGAGGCTCCATCACGTTCCTGAAACACTACGGTTGTATGAAGCCAAGATCACCAAAGGAGGTAGAATTATATGGGAACTTGCCATTGCTTTTTCTCCAAGATTGAGTGAGTCAGCAGAAAGAATTCTTGAATGCAATGATGAACAGTTGTCAGATCGTCCAGTTAAAGGTGGAAAAATATACTCAGAAATCATAAGAGTATGGGACATAGTCTTTGACCATGACAAAATCTACAGTTCTGTTCAGAGAATTGTAAAATCTCACACTCGTGGTGAGTCTTGTATCATACAGAAAAAGCTGAAGGGTGTCAAACATGATCAGTATTCTAATAAAAAGAAGAGAGTGCCTAGAATTTATGCTGAAACAGACTTTGAAAAGAGTGTCTTGGAGGAAGTAAAGCAGTACTTTCCTCCAGCAAGTGCCAACGAGACAGAATATCACATTCTAAAGTTTTATTCTTTCTCTTCAAATCTTATTTCACACATTTTACAAAACATAGAAATCAAAGTAGACTTTCCATTCCGTGTGACAGACTTGGAACATGCCATCATTAATCTCCAGTCAAACGCACCTATCCTTTTACTAGGTCGAAGTGGTACAGGCAAGACAACCTGTTGCCTGTATAGATTATGGAGTAGGTTTTTATGGTACTGGACAAAAGCTAAGGAGGCTGATGCTCCACTGCTACCAAGAGGTGATATATACAAAGAACAGAGGAACCAAGTACAGGATGAAGAGGACCCAGAAGGTATTGATTAAATCATTAATAATGTTTTCAATTTCTGAAAAATAATCAGTTTTTTTGTGTTGTGACGGGTCAATTAAAATGAAAAATAAAGTTATAAAAAAAGACAGCTCAGCTGGTTATTTGTATTACAAGAGCAAAACTTCTCCATTAAGCCAACAAATCAGAGCAGAATTGTATATAAAGAAAACCTCAAATATTGAAGTTGTATAATTGACTTCGATAAAAAAAAAAGGAAGACCAAGTTGGATACCTGTTTTAAAGCATTATATTTAGAGCTATAAATATATATTTTTATTACCTTCATTCACATAAAGCTGTTTAAGCTCAGTTGTTTTGAAATTCAAATATGCCAATGTTTTATTATGTTCATTTTTAGAAAGATTGGAGAGCAATATAAAATTAAGGAGATGTGGTATGATTGCCAATGAGACAACTAACTATCCACCAAAGTTCAAATGAAGTGGATGTAAGCAATATAGGCAACCGTACTGCCTTAAACAATGAGATAGAAAAGGCCCAGACATCAATTAAGAAAATGGACTTATTAATAACAAAACAATTTATGAAAAACAAATATGACAGACATGAACCAACGACAACCACTAAACTACATGCTCCTGACTTGGGACAAGCACATAAAGAATGACCATATTTGTCAAGCCTGTGATATTTTGTCGCGAAGCAAGACATAGCAATCCTACAATCCACTGTGGTCGTAGGTGTCTGTGCCATTCAGTATTTAGATTCAGTCTGTGGTTTAAGTTTTTTTTACATCAATAACTTTGTGAAACTTTTATTGATTTTACAAAAATTGGACAGCAACTTCTTCAAAATCAAGAAATGGCATCACAAGAAAAAACTTTATTTTTTTTATTTTCTGTATTTAACTAGATAAATGAACTTAAATTTTTGGCAGTCAATAATAATTCACTTTACACTCCAAAACAATCACAAGTGATACATTGGATTTAATGTTCATCTTTATCAATTTTTTTTACATGGTTTTTGTTTTTGAGTTGTGATAGTGGATTTACATTATTTTTCATTTTTTTCTCTGTGATTTCTATGCCATAATATATTTTACATGACTGATATGTACAAAATTTAAACAGAATGTTTATTGGTAAAGAATAAAAGGGATAGAATATTTGAGTTTTAGTCTAAAGTTGGAAAGTTATTAACAGAATTTCCTTTCAAAATTTTCATGCATGAATGAATTTTAATATCAAAAACGGAAATATTTATTGTCCATCAATTTTAAATTCTAGAAGTTGATGATGTGTTAATTGTGGAAGAAAATGTAGCTGTGGACAGACAGATATCCGGAGGAAGTCAAGATGTAGAGGGAGCCACTGCAGCACCAAATGATGAAAATGAGGCTGGAGAAATTGAGGATGTCAACGGACAACAGTATGACCATTTACATCAAATTTTCATCACTAAGAATGCTGTGTTATGTAATGAAGTTCAGAAAAACTTCAGGGAACTTATGCATGCCTGCGATTTAGCTAAAAATCATTTAGAAGCAGAGAATCAAAATTTGCCTAACCGTCTTCAAGATTTGAATGATTACCAGTTTCCTCTGTTTGTAACCTCTCGGCAGTTATTGTTGATGCTAGATGCATCCATAGATGAACCTTACTTTTTTGATCGAACAGAGGATGGAAGTTTGAAGGTTGATATTCAAGGATGGACAGATGGAGATGGACCTCTCAGTATTCTTCCATATCTTCAAGAAGATTCTGATGACGAAAGTGACAGTGATGAAGAAGAAGAAGAGATATTGGAAGAAGATCAAGATAATCAAAACCAAGATCGTCAAACCAGGAAAAGAGTACCTCCTAGAAGAGAGATGACATATGAATTGTTTGCTGAAACAGTATGGCCTCATATGAATAAAGGTGTTGGAAAGAAATATCATCCTTCACTTGTGTGGACAGAAATAATGTCATTTATTAAAGGTTCATATGAAGCTTTATCCAAGCCAACAGGATACCTAGAGAAAGAAGAGTACTTTGACCTTGGAAGAAAAAGAGCGCCTAATTTTTCTGGAGAAAGAGAACATATTTACTCTTTGTTCAAACGCTATGAACATGCGAGGAAACAGAAGTTCTTGTTCGACGAGACAGATCTTGTTCGTAACGTGTATCAGCGTGTGTGTAAACAACAGGATATGAACTGGGTGATTCATCAGATATTTGTTGATGAAACTCAAGATTTCACTCAGGCAGAGCTTTGTTTACTTCTGAGATTGTGTCAGAATCCCAACGATATGTTTCTGACGGGAGATACAGCTCAGGGCATCATGAGAGGAATATCCTTCAGATTCAGTGATCTCAAATCTCTCTTCTTCTATGCCAGTAATTCATTACAGGTAATGTTAAAGTTTTTACAATAGAAAAACAAAGGATATGGGGTATCCATAAATGACATAAAATCAGTACATGCTCAGCAAAAACTCTGTTTTATGTAATTTTAATGTGTGATATTGGCATAACTTGTAGGTGGTTAGGCCATAGCAAAATACACTTTTTTTACTTATCCTATTTATTTATTCCTCAAAATGCCTATCAACTTTAGTTTTATTGAAATTTTCTGTATTAAATTAGGATAAATGTGCATGTCTCCCCAAATGTTGAAGTTAAATTTATTGGCAAATAAAAAAAAAATTCCTACCTACCTACTTACCTCAATGTCCCCCATATGACGCGTTGCAGGGGACATAGACATACCGGACATCTGTCCATGCGTCTATCTATCAGGTCTTGAAAGCACTGTTACATGTAGAATTCTTTAAAGATCAGTGTCGATCAACTATTCTTAAGAGTGAAAAAAAGAATTATATGGAAAAGTTGCATTGTAATCTCTCTCACGTGTACAATTTAGCTTTTGCTTTTAATTTATTTAAAAATCTGCTAAAATGTATTTACAAGGGGAGGTAGCTCTGATGTTTTATATTCACAGTAAAAGATCAAACACTTTTATTCGTATTCTCTATGTTTACAGCAAGATAGTTAGTTATAAAATTTTGAAATTGTAAAAGAAAATTATATACGTCGATCTGAGGCAAAAATGAAGATAATTTGCCTTGGGCTGTTTTATGTAGGCTATTTCGGCCATTTGAGCTTATGTCATCATCACTTTTGCTTAGTCTGTCCATTAGCTTTTGGTCTTGTTCTTAAGAACCATTCAACAGAATGAAACCAAATTTTGCAGAGGTGTTCCTTACAAGGTCCTTTCTGTTTTCATATGATGGAAGATCATTATAATCTTAAAACTTTTAATGTTATTATAATAAATAGACTGAATGATTTCTTGTCAAGCTAAGATATTATAGGTTAATATAAATAAGAAGATGTGGTATGAATGCCTATGAGACAACTATCCATCCAAGTCACAATGAGTAAAAATTAAACAAGTATAGGTCAAAGTACGGCCTTCAACATGGAGCCTTCGCTCACACTGAATAGCAAGCTATAAAGGGCCCCAAAAAGACTAGTGTAAAACAAACGATATAGTTATTCAAGTTAGTTTGTTGGATATTCATAAAATTATTTAATGTGGATGATGTTCATGAAGATTTATAATTTTGTTCTGAAAAGCTTATGCAGTTCACATGTTGGAGGAACTATGCCTGCAGTGTTCAAAATTTTTCAGGAATATTAGATAGGCCTGAGGAGTATTTCTACTGAACCATAGGCCTAATGTGGATTTATTTATTTACAAGAATACCAATTTCTTTGGATATTTGTTATGTAGTTTTGGCAAAGTCTGCTTACAAGTCTTTATAAACTTGTACTTCTTTTAACATTTAAATTTGTGGTTCATACATATTTACCCAAGAAATCCACAAAAATAGGTATCCCACAAATATTTTAAAATGAATCCACAGTATTTCATTTTAGTTTTTAAAAGCATTTGCTTTTTACTGTCATCGTGTATGGCCATTTTGTTTATCTTCAAAATAGAGTTCACACGTTTTTCATTCTACAGTTCTTTCAAGATCAAGTAAAAGTATGTGTTTGCTCCACTTTTGTAACGAAAATTAAGTTTATTTGATTAAGCATTCCTAAAACGCGATATTCAAATAGAAGTTTAATAGTTCACCCTTTCACTTAAAAATTTTGATCTGCTAAAGGTTACGTAACAGACTTCATTTTAGAACGCAGTGATACAGTGAAATTCAGGGCCCTCTTTAGTCTATCGGCTAATCTCGATCCGTCTGGATTACCAATTAAAAGCATACCAACATGATTATTTTATTTTTTTCGAATTAAATTTTGCTGTTTTAAAAGAATGAAAAGGGGTTATCTTGCTTGTTTAAATATCAAAATAATTTAATCGTAGTGTCGTATGGGTAAACCTTACTGTGTTTGCGGATCTGCAAAAAGTCATGTTTATTTCCATGTGGTAATTTTTGCCAAGCCTGCGACGCTCGACATAGGGATAGTGATCCGGCGGCGGCGTTAGCTAACTTCTTAATAGCTTTATATTTTAGAAGATAGAAGACCTAGATGCTTCATACTTTGTATATAGATGCCTTATGCTACGAAGTTTCCGTCTGTCATATGTCCATTGTCCTTGACCTCATTTTCATGGTTCAGTGACTACTTGAAAAAAAAGACAACATTTTTTGTAATGTTAATTTCTTTCTTATTATGAGTAATAGGATAACTATATTTAATATGTGCGTACCTTGCAAGGTCCTCATGCCCGTCAGACAGTTTTCACTTGACCTCGACCTCATTTCATGGATCAGTGAACAAGGTTAAGTTTTCGTGGTCAAGTCCATATCTCAGATACTATAAGCAATAGGTCTAGTATATTCGGTGTATGGAAGGACTGTAAGGTGTACATGTCCAACTGGCAGGTGTCATCTGACCTTGACCTCATTTTCATGGTTCAGTGGTTATAGTTAAGTTTTTGTGTTTTGGTCTGTTTTTCTTATACTGTATGTAATAGGTCTACTATATTTGGTGTATGGAATGATTGTAAGGTGTACATGTCTAGCTGGCAGGTGTCATCTGACCTTGACCTCATTTTCATGGTTCAGTGGTCAAAGTTAAGTTTTTGAGTTTTGGTCTTTCTTTCTAATACTGCATGCAATAGGTCAGCTATATTTGGTGTATGGAATGATTGTAAGGTGTACATGTCTAGCTGGCAGGTGTCATCTTACCTTGACCTCATTTTCATGGTTCAGTGGTCAAAGTTAAGTTTTTGAGTTTTGGTCTTTTTTTCTAATACTATATGCAATAGTTCAACTATATTTGGTGTATGGAAATATTTTATGAATAGCATGGTTCATCTGACCTTGACCTCATTTTCATGGTTCATTGGTCAATGTTTAGTTTACTTGGTTAATGTTAAGTTTATGTGACAGTTGTAATAAAGCTTTATATTTAGGACTATCAACATAATATCAATGATTAGTAAAGAAGGCGAGACATTTCAGCGTGTGCACTCTTGTTGTAAATTTTTGTAATCTTTTACAAAAATCTTCTTCTCTGAAACTACTGAGACAAATTTAACCATACTTGGCCATAATCATTATTAGGGTATCTAGTTTCAAAAATTTGTCCGATGACCCCGCCTTCCAACCATCATGGCCGACTTGGTTAAAAATAGAACATAGGGGTAAAATGCAGTTTTTGGTTTATATCTCTGAAACTAAAGCATTTAGAGCAAATCTGACAGGTGTCAAAAATGTTCATCAGATTAAGATTTATCTGCCCTGAAATTTTCAGACGAATCCGACAACTCGTTGTTGGGTTGCTGCCCCTGAGTTAGTAATTTTTAACAAAAGTTTTGCAGTTTTTATACGACCGCAAAAATATTTTGTGGTCGTATATTGGTATGACGTTGGCGTCGTCGGCGTCGTCGTCCGAAGACACATTGGTTTTCGCACTCTAACTTTAGTTTAAGTGAATGGATCTTTTTGAAATTTGACCATAAGGTTAAATACCACAAAAGGAAGGTTGGGATTGATTTTGGGGGTTATGGTACCAACAGTTAAGAAATATGGGGCCAAAAAGGGGCCAAAAATAAGCATTTTCTAGTTTCCAGACAATAACTGTGGAACGGTGTATGGATCTCTCTGAAATTATACTACAAGTTTCCATACCACATATTTCATGGATCAGTGAATAAGGTTAAGTTTTCGTGTTCAAGTCCATATATCAGATACTATAAGCAGTAGGTCTACTACATATACCGGTATATGGAATGATTGTAAGGTGTACATGTCCAACTGGTAGGTGTCATCTGACCTTGACCTCATTTTCATGGTTCAGTGGTCAAAGTTAAGTTTTTGAGTTTTGGTCTTTTTTTATAATACTATATGCAATAGGTCAACTATATTTGGTGTATGGAAATATTTTATGATGTACATGTCAGTCTCGCAGGTTTTATTTGACCTTGACCTCATTTTCACGGTTCATTTCTCAGTGTTAAGTTTTTGTGTTTTGGTTTGTTTTTCTTCAACTATAAGCAATAGATCAACTATATTTGTTGTATGGAAGGATTGTAAGGTGTATATGTCTGTCTGGCAGGTATCATCTGACCTTGACCTCATTTTCATGGTTCATTGGTCAATGTTAAGTTTTCATGGTTAAGTTTGTTTCTTAGATACTATAAGCCATAGGTCAACTATATTTAATGCATACATTGATTGTAAGGTGTACATGTCTGTCTGGCATGGTTCATCTGACCTTGACCTCATTTTCATGGTTCATTGGTCAATGTTAAGTTTTCTTGGTTAAGACTGTTTCTTAGAAACGATAAGCAATAGGTCAACTATGTTTGGTTTATTGAATGATTGTAAGGTGTACATGTATTTCTCGTTTGTTTTATCTGACCTTGACCTCATTTTCTTGGATCATGTTAAGTTTATGTGTTACTTGTAGTAAAGCTTTATATTTAGGACTATCAACATAAAATCAATGGTTAGTAAAGAAGGCGAGACATTTCAGCGTGTGCACTCTTGTTGGTATTAAGATATATCATTACCGGACTGGTTTACGATGACCGGTTTTTCATATGGAAACAGATTAAACGAAACAATAAAGATTTTGACATTTTCTTCAAAAAACTGAATCCACAAATTTACCAAAATTCGGAACAGTCACTGCATAACCTCCAGTCTAAATTTATTATTTAAAAAAAATGTTTTAAACGATGATGGTTGTTTTTTGTTTTTAAAATTATTGGTGTTCCTTTTTCAGGCCATGGGAAAAACTTCTGGGGTAGCAATTCCTAAGCAAGTATACCAGCTGACACACAACTACCGTTCACATGCAGGAATTCTCTCCCTTGCATCTAGTATCCTTGATGTTATGGTTGAATTTTTCCCAGAATCCTTTGACAGACTGAACAAAGATCAAGGACTCTTTAATGGACCTAATCCAGTCTTGTTAGAGTCTTGTAGTTTCAGTGACCTGGCTCTGTTACTCAGAGGAAACAAACGTAAGACCTCTCACATCGAATTTGGAGCTCACCAAGCTATCTTGGTTGTAAATGATGCAGCAAGAGAGAATGTTCCAGAAGAACTTCAATGTGGTCTTATATTGACAATATATGAAGCCAAAGGTCTTGAGTTTGATGATATTTTGCTCTACAACTTTTTCAAGGATTCACAGGTATGGAGGACTTGCAATGTGACATTAAATTTTGTTTGTCTTCTTTATTGAATGTATATCTTTGTCTGTTTTCAGGTATACCTTACTTATCCATTTTATTAGCTCACCGGGGCTCAAAGGGCCCCATGTGAGCTTATGCCATCACTTGGCGTCCATCGTCTGTCGTCTGTCGTCGTCGTCTGTCGTCGTAAACTATTTCAAAAATCTTCTCCTCTGAAACTACTGGGCCAAATACCTTCAAACTTTAACTAAATGTTCCTTAGGGTATCTAGTTTATAAATTGTATCAGAAGTTTTGATCCATCGACAAACATGGCCGCCATGGCTAAAAATAGAACATAGGGGTCAAATGCAGTTTTTGGCTTATATCTCAAAAACTACATCTTTTAGAGCAAATGTGACATGGAGAAAATTGTTTAATTGGTCAAGATCTATCGCCCCAGAAATTTTCAGATGAATCGAACAACCCATTGTTCGGTTGCTGCCACTGAATTGGTAGTTTTAACAAAATTTTGCAGTTTTTTGTTATTATTTTGAATATTATTATAGATATATATAAACTGTAAGCAGCAATAATGTTCAGCAAAGTAAGATCTACAAAAAAGTTAATATGACCATAATTGTCAATTGACCCCTTAAGGAGTTATTGCCCTTTAAAGACAATTTTACACAATTTGTTCATCAAGTTTGCTAACATTTAAAAATCTTCTCCTCTGAAACTACTGGGCCAATTACCTTAAAACTTTAACTAAATGTTCCTTAGGGTATCTTGTTTATAAATCGGAAGTTTGTATCCATTGACAAACATGGCCGCCATGGCTAAAAATTGAACATAAGGGTCAAATGCAGTTTTTGGCTTATATCTCAAAAACTACATCTTTTAGAGCAAATGTGACATGGGATAAAATTGTTTAATTGGTCAAGATCTATCGCCCCTGAAATTTTCAGATGAATCGAACAACCCATTGTTGGGTTGCTGCCACCGAATTGGTAGTTTTAACAAAATTTTGCAGTTTTTTGTTATTATTTTGAATATTATCATAGATATATATATAAACTGTAAGCAGCAATAATGTTCAGCAAAGTAAGATCTACAAAAAAGTTAATATGATCATAATTGTCAATTGACCCCTTAAGGAGTTATTGCCCTTTAAAGACAATTTTACACAATTTGTTCATCAAGTTTGCTAACATTTAAAAATCTTCTCCTCTGAAACTACTGGGCCAATTACCTTCAAACTTAAATAAATGTTCCTTAGGGTATTTTGTTTATAAATTGTATCAGAAGTTTTGATCCATCGACAAACATGGCCGCCATGGCTAAAAATAGAACATAAGGGTCAAATGCAGTTTTTGGCTTATATCTCAAAAACTACATCATTTAGAGCAAGTGTGACATGGGGTAAAATTGTTGAATTTGTCAAGATCTATCAGCCCTGAAATTATCAGACATTCGAACAACCCATTGTTGGGTTGCTGCCACCAAATTGGTAGTTTTAACAAAATTTTGCAGTTTTTTGTTATTATTTTGAATATTATCATAGATATATATAAACTGTAAGCAGCAATGATGTTCAGCAAAGTAAGATCTACAAAAAAGTTAATATGACCAAAATTGTCAATTGACCCCTTAAGGAGTTATTGCCCTTTAAAGACAATTTTACACAATTTGTTCATCAAGTTTGCTAACATTTAAAAATCTTCTCCTCTGTGATATACAGGTGAGCGATTCAGGCTCTTGAGAGCCTCTTGTTGTTTTTGCTAGGGCTGTCAATGTGTAGTGAAGCACGAGAGTCCCGAGTATTGAATATGATAAAAATTATATAAGTAATAATGGTAAACAGACCTTTTTTTAATTTGGATTTTATTAAGTTAAGCATGAAATATTACAGTTACAAGACTTAGGCAGACATACAATACAGTTAGTTTAATTCCTATAGATATATTTTGTTGTTGTAACGAATGTTTATTTCTTGCTTTTTATTTCACTTATAGATTTATTGATTTGATTGTTGTATGTTTAATATCCAGTGGCAAACATTTCATACTTATTTATATATAATTAGGATTGTTCAATTAAAGATGCACTGTTCTTCATATATGTATAGTTATTGCGAACCAAATGAAACTTTTCCACAGAGTTATCTGCTATTGGTCAATCTATTTAAACTTTTGTCAGTTCTATTGTCCAATTGAATAAATACAATAGCTATTGTTCTCTGTGTAGTTTATTCACTGGGACCTTTCTGGAGGAGATGACTCTGTGGAAAAGTTTCATTTGGTTCGCAATAATTTAAGTACATCACTTCCTTTCTTGAATAAAAGATAAAAAAATAATGTCCCCTAATCAAAATAATCTTCCAAACTTATTTAATCAATTACAGTGCCATTTAATTTAAATGTGAAAGCATTTTCACCCTTGCTGTGTGTGGGTGGGGGGAGGAGATAACATTATGGTTTCTGTCCATATCTAAAAATCCTTGCTTTTAATTTCACTCATAGATTCAACATTCTGGTCGTGGTTGCTTTCCATGCTTTCAACAGTTAGATCTTTGATAGTGAGGTTCGGTATAAAACAATTTTGAAAATGTCATCAAGGTTGAAATATTTTGATGTAGTTAGAATTATTAAGATAATCCTGGACATAGATTTAAGGATGTACACCTCTGAGGAGCCAAAAATTTCTAAAATTAAACTTTTTTTCATAACATGATTTTTGGGTTTATATGACTAAAAAAATAATTGGTGAAGAAAAAATGATATGGTGGTGCATTTCTTTTTTTGCTACAGCCATTTGAAAGTACCCAATTTTGATGATTTTCCAATTTTCCATCAATTGTTACCCATTTTTGGGCTATTATCGTGTAAAAAATAACAGTTTCACAATTAAACTTTTTTTCATACTTTCACTAAAGATGAAGTGGACCATTGATGTGTTTATAACTTAGTCAATCCTTGTATGTTAGATTGCATGTGGTATGAACTTTAATTTTTCAGCATATCATTCAGGAATGATCATTTTGGCAGGCAAGACAATGAACAAATGCCCACTCTTTTTTACCTTATAATTTGTTTTTGCAGGCTTCAAAAGAATGGAGAGTTGTTACAGATTTCTTAGAGAGACTTTGTAACAGTGTGAAAACTGGAACAGAGAGTTTGGTCACAGTAAGTGCAGGTGAGTAATAATGTTTACAATAAAATGAAACTCTTCTTGGTACTGAAGTTTTGCTTGATTAGATGTATATTAAAAAAAGTAAAATTGAGAATGGAAAAACGGAAGGTGTCAAAGAGTCAACAACCCAACCAAAGAGCAGAAAACAGCCCAAGGGGTCTTCAACACTGAGAAAATCCTGCTCCCTGAGGCAGACTGCAGCAGCCCCTTAAACAATGATGTATACTAGTTCAGCAAAATGTTCAGGCAATAGAATGAAAATTCTGACTACCATTAACTAAGCATAAAATTTCAGACTAAGATGTTTTAATCAAACATAGATTTGTATTTCAGAAAATGCTTTCAATATCTGTTATATGCTCCCAAAAAAAATTCAGGAGAATATAGTCATTGCTTTGTTAAGTCTCCATCTATGTGTCAGAATGATTACTTGAGTATCCCTTGCTTGATTAAAAATGAAATTTATGCAGATGGGAGACATAGGAAAGAGGAAGAAGCCTATTGATTTCCTTCAGCACAATTTTCTCATAAGTCTTCCTAAAATTTATATGCAATATATTTTTGATATAAAAATTTCTTGTAGACATTTTGCAACAAAAGGATAGACCCAGGGCATTGACCTTTGACCCTAACCAACATAAAGTGTTGAACTCAGAATTAAAACATCTGTACACAGCAGTAACACGAGCTCGGGTGAATGTCTGGATTTTTGATGAAGATATGGAGAAAAGAGCACCAATGTTTGAGTATTTCAAAGCTCGCCATTTGGTCAAAGCCATCAGTAGTGATGATGTACAAAATTGTAAGTTTTAGTAACTTAGTTTCAGCAACTTAGTTTTGTAAAACTATAGATAAGTTCTCTAATTTTCAAGGACAAGTGTTGGATTTTTAGCCCTGTCTACGACAGAAGGTTAGCATTATATTTTCTGGGTCTTTTATTTGTTCGTCTGTACTATACATCAGGTTTTAGTTTAGGTTTAATGTAGTTTGCCATGAAGTTGTGGCCACATCAACTTGAAACTTAGTACACATGTTCATTATGAACTTCACCCATATTTCTCAGTTCTTGGCTATGTGATAATGCAAAAGGGGCACACACTAGCTCTAGTTTGATTCAACCAATTTACTATTTGTTGGAATTGGTAATTTTGAAAGTCATCTCATTTGTCATTCCAGATTTATTGGACATTATTACAGCCATTACATTTCAAGCAGTTTTTTAGTAAGTCAGTGACTTACTCAAGAATGCTTGGATCAATTTAGTTCACTTCAGAATTATTTTATTGCATGTTGTCACTAACTCAAGTATGCTCTTTTAAGAAATGCTGAGGTTTGACAGAATGGTACATTTTGAATTTACCATCTGGTACAAAAAGCAGGCTATACTTATGTCTCCCCCACACATTTATTATATAATTCACCTTAACAAGCAGAAATGGATCATTGAAATGACTCATTTATCACTTTACAAGTTTTGATCCTTTTGATATAATTCCTATAGTATCCACTGGTGGAATGTTTGCGGAAGAATCTACCCCAGAAGAATGGTTAAAGAGAGCACAAGACTTCATGAAACATAACTTGTATGAAGTAGCAGCTAAATGTTATCGACAAGGAGGTGAACCTTATATGGAGAAAGTGGCAATGTCCCATCAGAGGGCGCTGAAAGCCTCCAGAATAAAGGATAGCCCTACAAAAATGAGAGAGGAGTTTATGTTAGCTGCAGAACAGTATTTAGAAGTCAACCTTCCAGTTTTGGCTGCTAAGTGCTTACAGAATGCCAGAGAGAGGGAACTTCTAGCTCATTTATATGAAAAAATGGGTCAGGTATGTGCAAAAACATTATTATAGTTTGGCTGACTGCTATTTTAGTTAGGTATGAACAGCATGAAATAGGGAGAGAAATTGAAATGCCTCCAGATAATTAATCTAAAAATAAGAAGATTTGGTATGATTGCCAATAAGACAACTCTCCACTAGAGACCAAATTGCATAGAAGTTAAAAACTTAAGGTCACCATATGACCTTCAACAATGAGCAAAACCCATACCGCATAGTAAGCTATAAAAGGCTCAAAATGACAAATGTAAACAATTCAAATGAGAAAACTAACGGCCTGATTTATGTACAAAATAATAAACGAAAAACAAATATGATATACAGCAACAAACGACAACCACTGAGTTACAGGCTTCAGACTTTGGACAGGCAAATACAGAATGTAGCGGGGTTAAACATGTTTGCTGGTGTTAAACCCTCCACCCTATTAAGTTCTCTTTTGGAGGAAAAGGACATCTCATCTTAAGCTGTTTTACCTGGAAGATTTGAATGCAAATAATACATAATCTCCTGTATATCAAGTTAACAAGTGGAGATCATGCATATCCAAGTAAGCGTTGTAATATAATACATAGCCTGCCTCAAACCAAGTTACCTTTGGGGAATAATTAATAGCTTCCATTTAACCAGTTTTAATATATAAGGGTGGAGAATGAACATAATGTTGTAAAACCAATTCTGAAAAAAGGGGGATTGTAAGAAAGCCTACCTTGAACCTATATACCTAGATATAGTAGAAAAGAAAATTTTCATGTGTTTTATTTTCACAAATTTTGGATTAAGATAAAAAAAAAAAGAAGCTGAAGTATACCCTCAGATAAAGCCGAACGTACGATAAAGCCACATATTTTGGCCACTTGAATTAAGAAATCAACAAGAATTATGAAACTGCCAAATAACATCCTTTAGATGTGCATAACACATTAGTCTGTATTCATATTTTTGAATTTTGTCTCACATATTGGCATTAAGGCTTCATAGTTCTTACACTTAGTCTGAAGTTTGTGCAAAACAATAAAACCTGCCAAAATAGTCTACTTTTCAGGTTTTCTCATTAATATTTAAATGTGAGAAACAGTTTTACCCAAAAAAATATTTTGCTTCTATAAAATATTTTACAAAGATGTTTTAAATGAGTGTAAATTATCCTTTTGGGTAAAGCTGATGCTCAAATATATTTGACCAAAAACTATGAGTGAATTTGGCCAATTCAGGTCAAAACATAAATTTCGCCATGTTTATAACATCACAAAAGCAAATGACCTTTTTGCACTAAAGTGGACATATTGTATTACCCTGTTCATTTATCAATAAGATTAGCACAATTTTGAAAGTTCAGCATAATTTTATTAATTTTGCAAATAATGGCTCCTATATAATACCTCCTTGTTTTTATATCATGGCAGATCATGAATGTTTCTTATGCTTATCATGCTCATTTTGGAAGAAAACTGAATAGTAAAGAAATCATAGGCAGCAGAAATTCATGCTATTTGCTCCTGATACAACTAAAAAGTACAACTCCATAGATCAGTAGATTGTATGTTGTTCCAGGAGCTGTGTAAGTTATATTAGTTACTAAATATTGCCTTCATGGAACAAAACATTAATGGTGTAAACATGTGATCAATTAAGACGTTTGTTGTATCTTTGAAAAATATTTCTTGTTCCATTATCAGATTTGTGGAGGCATTTGCATAATTATCATGATTCAGGCAGTGGACATACAAATTCTAGTTACTAGTAAGTGAATATAATTATATTTTTTAGCTTGAAAAGGCAGCAGAAACATACAGAAAGTTGAGGCGTCCAATAGAAAGCAGTGCATGTTATGAGAGATTGGGATTCTTTGACAAAGCTATAGATACTTTGTATGAACAAGAAATGTATGACATGGCATTTGATACTCTCAAAAGATTCAGAATGCAGAAAAAGGTATGCATATTTGGAAAAAAAAATTTAAAAAATTGAAACTTGAACACAATGTCATGGACCATGAAATACAGGTCATTTTGATTTTTAATGGTTTGACATTTACCATTCAAAAGTTATCCCCCTGAGTTAACCTATACATCATTATTTTTGTTTTCCAGGTGTTAATGACAGTTAGTTCCATTTAACTTATCTTTTTGAAGTTTACACAATGTTGTGAAACACCAAATATATGTTATGTTCAAGTTTGGTTTTTGAATTTACCCTCAAGTTTTTTTCTGCCAACAGGGAAATATGTGAACACTAGATCATCTAATTAAAGTTGTCTCACCTACGAAAAAAGTCTCAGAAGGCAAGACATAGGTGTTCCCAATGGCGATGATGGCGGTGCCAGCATCAGCAATTGTTAAGTTTTCTGCCTAAATTAGTTTGATAGGAACTACTTGTGATAGATCAATGATATTTTCTATAGAGTTGCATTACTATTAGTACAACTGTTTTGAGACCCTGCTCCCTAGGTCATGGTCCAGGGACTTCCAATTATTATGCATTCTCAATGTTAAGTTTTCTGCTCAAGTTAGTTTGATAGGAACTACTTGTGATAGATCAATGATATTTTGTATAAAGTTGTATTATAAAATTGTTAGTTATTTTGCTACAGGAATTTGAAGAGAAAGGTAAAGTTCTACCCCAACATTTGAAGGAGCATGCTCCACGTAAAGAGCACACAGAGGAACAGTTAGCTTACGTGTCTGCTGGGATGTACCATACTGCTAGGAATGTTGGAAAGATGTTGGCATCATTAAACAGATTGTCCAGTATTCAGGACAGAGTGGACTTCTTGAGGAAGCATCATAACCATCAGAATGAATATATGTCACATGCTGCTAAAATTCTTAGAGATAATGGTAATCAGTTAATGCTAGTCTTAGTACATGTCAGAATTTTACAGGGCAAAACGTTTCCAAACTTTGTTTAAACCCCTGCTAGTTTAGTCATGTTGTTTGATACTGCTTTCAGTCTGACAGATATCATATTTATACCAACCACCAACACAGTTTTGGGAGTATACAGGAATTAGCTGTCTGTTTTTATACGACTGCAAAAAAATTTTGCGGTCGTATATTGGTATGGCGTCAGCGTCGTTGTCCGAAGACACATTGGTTTTCGCACTCTAACTTTAGTTAAAGTGAATGGATCTCTATGAAATTTTACCATAAGGTTCAATACCACAAAAGGAAAGTTGGGATTGATTTTGGGGGTTATGGTACTAACAGTTAAGGAATTAGGGGCCAAAAATAAGCATTTTTGTAACTTCCAGACATAACTTGTGTGTTAGTGTATGGATCTCTTTGACATTGTACCACAAGGTTCCATATCACAAAGGGAATGCTTGGATTGATTTTGGGGGTAATTGCCTCCACATTTTAGGAATTAGGAGCCAAAAAAGGGGCAAAAACAAGCATTTTTCTAGTTTCATGACAATAACTTGTGTGTAAGTGTATGGATCTTTATGAAATTGTACTACAAGGTTCCATATCACAAAGGGAAAGCTGGAATTGAGTTTGGGGGTAATTGCCTAAAACGTTTAGGAATAAGGGGCCAAAAATAAGCATTTTTCTAGTTTCCAGACAATAACTTGTGTTCAAGTGTATGGATCTCTCTGAAATTGTACTGCAAGGTACCATACTACAAAGGGAAGGCTAGGATTGATTTTGGGGGTTATTGCCTCAAAATTTTAGGAATAAGGGGCCAAAAAGGGGCAAAAAATCAAGCATTTTTCTAGTTTCAGGACAAAAACTTGTGCGTAAGTGTATGGATCTTTATGAAATTGTACTACAAGGTTCCTATCACAAAGGGAAAGCTGGGTTTGAGTTGGGGGTAATTGCCCTAAACATTTAGGAACTTGGGGCCAAAAGGGGCCAAAAAACAAGCATTTTTATACGACCGCAAACAAAATTTTGTGGTCGTATATTGGTATGACGTTGGCGTCGTCGTCCTCATCCGAAGACACATTGGTTTTCGCACTCTAACTTTAGTTAAGTGAATGGATCTCTATGATATTTTACCATAAGGTTCAATACCACAAAAGGAAGGTGGGGATTGATTTTGGGGGTTATGGTACCAACAGTTAAGGAAAAAGGGGCCAAAAATAAGCATTTTTGTAACTTCCAGACATCACTTGTGTGTTAGTGTATGGATCTCTCTGACATTGTACCACAAGGTTCCATATCACAAAGGGAATGCTGGGATTGATTTTGGGGGTAATTGCCTCCAAATTTTAGGAATTAGGGGCCAAAAAGGGGCAAAAAACAAGCATTTTTCTAGTTTCATGACAGTAACTTGTGTGTAAGTGTATGGATCTCTCTGACATTGTACCACAAGGTTCCATATCACAAAGGGAATGCTGGGATTGATTTTGGGGGTAATTGCCTCCAGATTTAAGGAATTAGGGGCCAAAAAGGGGCAAAAAACAAGCATTTTCTAGTTTCATGACAAAAACTTGTGTGTAAGTGTATGGATCTCTCTGACATTGTACCACAGATTCCATATCACATAGGAATGCTGGGATTGATTTTGGGGGTAATTGCCTCCAAATTTTAGGAATTAGGGGCCAAAAAGGGGCAAAAAACAAGTATTTTTCTAGTTTCATGACAATAACTTGTGTGTAAGTGTATGGATCTTTATGGAATTGTACTGCAAGGTTCCATATCACAAAGGGAAAGCTGGGTTTGAGTTTGGGGGTAATTGCCCTAAACGTTTAGGAATTTGGGGCCAAAAAGGGGCAAAAAAACAAGCATTTTTCTAGTTTCATGACAATAATTTGTGTGTAAGTGTATGGATCTCTCTGACATTGTATCACAAGGTTCCATATCACAAAGGAAATGCTGGGATAGTTTTTTTGGGTAGTTGCCTCAAAATTTTGGGAATTAGGGGCATAAAAGGGGCAAAAAACAAGCATTTTTCTAGTTTCATGACAATAACTTGTGTGTAAGTGTATGGATCTCTCTGACATTGTACCACAAGGTTCCATATCACAAAGGGAATGCTGGGATTGATTTTGGGGGTAATTGCCTCCAAATTTAAGGAATTAGGGGCCAAAAAGGGGCAAAAAACAAGCATTTTTCTAGTTTCATGACAAAAACTTGTGTGTAAGTGTATGGATCTCTCTGACATTGTACCACAAGATTCCATATCACAAAGGGAATGCTGGGATTGATTTTGGGGGTAATTGCCTCCAAATTTTAGGAATTAGGGGCCAAAAAGGGGCAAAAAACAAGTATTTTTCTAGTTTCATGACAATAACTTGTGTGTAAGTGTATGGATCTTTATGGAATTGTACTGCAAGGTTCCATATCACAAAGGGAAAGCTGGGTTTGAGTTTGGGGGTAATTGCCGTAAACGTTTAGGAATTTGGGGCCAAAAAGGGGCAAAAAAACAAGCATTTTTCTAGTTTCATGACAATAATTTGTGTGTAAGTGTATGGATCTCTCTGACATTGTATCACAAGGTTCCATATCACAAAGGAAATGCTGGGATAGTTTTTTTTGGGTAGTTGCCTCAAAATTTTGGGAATTAGGGGCATAAAAGGGGCAAAAAACAAGCATTTTTCTAGTTTCATGACAAAAACTTGTGTGTAAGTGTATGGATCTCTCTGCCATTGTATCACAAGGTTCCATATCATAAAGGGCATACTGGGATTGATTTTGGGGGTAATTGCCTCCAAATTTAAGGAATTAGGGGCCAAAAAGGGGCAAAAAACAAGCATTTTTCTAGTTTCATGACAAAAACTTGTGTGTAAGTGTATGGATCTCTCTGACATTGTACCACAAGGTTCCATGTCACAAAGGGAAAGCTGGGTTTGAGTTTGGGGGTAATTGCCCTTAACGTTTAGGAATTTGGGGCCAAAAAGGGGCAAAAAAACAAGCATTTTTCTAGTTTCCAGACAATAACTTGTGTTCAAGTGTACAGATCTCTCTGAAATTGTCCTGCAAGGTACCGTACCACAAAGGGAAGACTGGGATTGAGTTTGGGGGTGATGAATCATAAGGGGGATCAAAAAATTTGGAAGGGGGAATTTTTTTTCCCTTTTTTATACGACCGCAAAAAAAATTTTGTGGTCGTATATTGGTATGACGTTGGCGGCGTCGTCGTCATCGTCTGGCGTCGTCCGAAGACACATTGGTTTTCGCACTCTAACTTTAGTTAAAGTGAATGGATCTCTATGAAATTTTACCATAAGGTTCAATACCACAAAAGGAAAGTTGGGATTGATTTTGGGGGTTATGGTACTAACAGTTAAGGAATTAGGGGCCAAAAATAAGCATTTTTGTAACTTCCAGACATAACTTGTGTGTTAGTGTATGGATCTCTTTGACATTGTACCACAAGGTTCCATATCACAAAGGGAATGCTTGGATTGATTTTGGGGGTAATTGCCTCCACATTTTAGGAATTAGGAGCCAAAAAAGGGGCAAAAACAAGCATTTTTCTAGTTTCATGACAATAACTTGTGTGTAAGTGTATGGATCTTTATGAAATTGTACTACAAGGTTCCATATCACAAAGGGAAAGCTGGAATTGAGTTTGGGGGTAATTGCCTAAAACGTTTAGGAATAAGGGGCCAAAAATAAGCATTTTTCTAGTTTCCAGACAATAACTTGTGTTCAAGTGTATGGATCTCTCTGAAATTGTACTGCAAGGTACCATACTACAAAGGGAAGGCTAGGATTGATTTTGGGGGTTATTGCCTCAAAATTTTAGGAATAAGGGGCCAAAAAGGGGCAAAAAATCAAGCATTTTTCTAGTTTCAGGACAAAAACTTGTGCGTAAGTGTATGGATCTTTATGAAATTGTACTACAAGGTTCCATATCACAAAGGGAAAGCTGGGTTTGAGTTTGGGGGTAATTGCCCTAAACATTTAGGAACTTGGGGCCAAAAAGGGGCCAAAAAACAAGCATTTTTATACGACCGCAAACAAAATTTTGTGGTCGTATATTGGTATGACGTTGGCGTCGTCGTCCTCATCCGAAGACACATTGGTTTTCGCACTCTAACTTTAGTTTAAGTGAATGGATCTCTATGATATTTTACCATAAGGTTCAATACCACAAAAGGAAGGTGGGGATTGATTTTGGGGGTTATGGTACCAACAGTTAAGGAAAAAGGGGCCAAAAATAAGCATTTTTGTAACTTCCAGACATCACTTGTGTGTTAGTGTATGGATCTCTCTGACATTGTACCACAAGGTTCCATATCACAAAGGGAATGCTGGGATTGATTTTGGGGGTAATTGCCTCCAAATTTTAGGAATTAGGGGCCAAAAAGGGGCAAAAAACAAGCATTTTTCTAGTTTCATGACAATAACTTGTGTGTAAGTGTATGGATCTCTCTGACATTGTACCACAAGGTTCCATATCACAAAGGGAATGCTGGGATTGATTTTGGGGGTAATTGCCTCCAGATTTAAGGAATTAGGGGCCAAAAAGGGGCAAAAAACAAGCATTTTTCTAGTTTCATGACAAAAACTTGTGTGTAAGTGTATGGATCTCTCTGACATTGTACCACAAGATTCCATATCACATAGGGAATGCTGGGATTGATTTTGGGGGTAATTGCCTCCAAATTTTAGGAATTAGGGGCCAAAAAGGGGCAAAAAACAAGTATTTTTCTAGTTTCATGACAATAACTTGTGTGTAAGTGTATGGATCTTTATGGAATTGTACTGCAAGGTTCCATATCACAAAGGGAAAGCTGGGTTTGAGTTTGGGGGTAATTGCCCTAAACGTTTAGGAATTTGGGGCCAAAAAGGGGCAAAAAAACAAGCATTTTTCTAGTTTCATGACAATAATTTGTGTGTAAGTGTATGGATCTCTCTGACATTGTATCACAAGGTTCCATATCACAAAGGAAATGCTGGGATAGTTTTTTTGGGTAGTTGCCTCAAAATTTTGGGAATTAGGGGCATAAAAGGGGCAAAAAACAAGCATTTTTCTAGTTTCATGACAATAACTTGTGTGTAAGTGTATGGATCTCTCTGACATTGTACCACAAGGTTCCATATCACAAAGGGAATGCTGGGATTGATTTTGGGGGTAATTGCCTCCAAATTTAAGGAATTAGGGGCCAAAAAGGGGCAAAAAACAAGCATTTTTCTAGTTTCATGACAAAAACTTGTGTGTAAGTGTATGGATCTCTCTGACATTGTACCACAAGATTCCATATCACAAAGGGAATGCTGGGATTGATTTTGGGGGTAATTGCCTCCAAATTTTAGGAATTAGGGGCCAAAAAGGGGCAAAAAACAAGTATTTTTCTAGTTTCATGACAATAACTTGTGTGTAAGTGTATGGATCTTTATGGAATTGTACTGCAAGGTTCCATATCACAAAGGGAAAGCTGGGTTTGAGTTTGGGGGTAATTGCCGTAAACGTTTAGGAATTTGGGGCCAAAAAGGGGCAAAAAAACAAGCATTTTTCTAGTTTCATGACAATAATTTGTGTGTAAGTGTATGGATCTCTCTGACATTGTATCACAAGGTTCCATATCACAAAGGAAATGCTGGGATAGTTTTTTTTTGGGTAGTTGCCTCAAAATTTTGGGAATTAGGGGCATAAAAGGGGCAAAAAACAAGCATTTTTCTAGTTTCATGACAAAAACTTGTGTGTAAGTGTATGGATCTCTCTGCCATTGTATCACAAGGTTCCATATCATAAAGGGCATACTGGGATTGATTTTGGGGGTAATTGCCTCCAAATTTAAGGAATTAGGGGCCAAAAAGGGGCAAAAAACAAGCATTTTTCTAGTTTCATGACAAAAACTTGTGTGTAAGTGTATGGATCTCTCTGACATTGTACCACAAGGTTCCATGTCACAAAGGGAAAGCTGGGTTTGAGTTTGGGGGTAATTGCCCTTAACGTTTAGGAATTTGGGGCCAAAAAGGGGCAAAAAAACAAGCATTTTTCTAGTTTCCAGACAATAACTTGTGTTCAAGTGTACAGATCTCTCTGAAATTGTCCTGCAAGGTACCGTACCACAAAGGGAAGACTGGGATTGAGTTTGGGGGTGATGAATCATAAGGGGGATCAAAAAATTTGGAAGGGGGAATTTTTTTTCCCTTTTTTATACGACCGCAAAAAAAATTTTGTGGTCGTATATTGGTATGACGTTGGCGGCGTCGTCGTCATCGTCTGGCGTCGTCCGAAGACACATTGGTTTTCGCACTCTAACTTTAGTTTAAGTGAATGGATCTCTATGAAATTTTACCACAAGGTTCAATACCACAAAAGAAAGGTTGGGATTGATTTTGGGGGTTATGGTACCAATAGTAAAGGAATTAGGGGCCAAAAATAAGCATTTTTGTAACTTCCAGACATAACTTGTGTGTTAGTGTATGGATCTCTCTGACATTGTGCCACAAGGTTCCATATCACAAAAGGAATGCTGGGATTGATTTTGGGGGTAATTGCCTCAAAATTTTAGGAATTAGGGGCAAAAAAAGGGGCAAAAAACAAGCATTTTTCTAGTTTCATGACAATAACTTGTGTGTAAGTGTATGGATCTTTCTGAAATTGTACTACAAGGTTCCATATCACAAAGGGAAAGCTGGAATTGAGTTTGGGGGTAATTGCCGAAACGTTTAGGAATTGGGGGCCAAAAAGGGGCTAAAAATAAGCATTTTTCTAGTTTCCAGACAATAACTTGTGTTCAAGTGTATGGATCTCTCTGAAATTGTACTGCAAGGTACCATACCACAAAGGGAAGGCTGGGATTGATGATGGGGGTAATTGCCTCAATATTTTAGGAATTAGGGGCCAGAAAGGGGCAAAAAACAAGCATTTTTCTAGTTTCAGGACAATAACTTGTGTGTAAGTGTATGGATCTTTCTGAAATTGTACCACAAGGTTCCATATCACAAAGGGAAAGCTGGAATTGAGTTTGGGGGTAATTGCCCTAAACGTTTAGGAATTTGGGGCCAAAAAGGGGCCAAAAAACACATTTTTCTAGTTTCCAGACAATAACTTGTGTTCAAGTTTATGGATCACTCTGAAATTGTACTGCAAGGTACCATACCACAAAGGGAAGGCTGGGATTGAGTTTGGGGGTGATGAATCATAAGGGGGTTCAAAAAATTTGGGGGGGGATTTTTTTTTTTTTTCCTTTTTTTTCCTTTTTTTCCTTTTTTTTTCTTTTAAAATTTTCCATTTTAAGTTGGTTATTTCTGATTTATATTTAAAAGCAAATAATAATGATATGGTAGGAGATACACACCAAACAGGATGTGTAAATTATTATATAATAAGTATTGTGCAATAGCAAGAAATTTTCAATTGCACAGTATTGCACAATAGCAAGAAATCTTCAATTGCACAGTATTGTGCAATAGCAAGAAATCTTCAATTGCACAGTATTGCGCAATAGCAAGAAATATCCAATAGCACAATATTGCGCAATAGCAAGAAATTGTCAATTTTACAGTATTGCGCAATAGCAAGAAATATTTAATTGCACAGTATTGTGCAAAAGAAGATACTTCGTATAAATTGCTTATTTCTTGACCAATTTCAATGGGGTTTTATTCTTGAATTCTTGGGGTTCTTTAATATGCTGAATCTAACCGTGTATTTAGTTTTTGGATTTTGGGCCCCGTTTTTAAATTGGTCCACATTGGGGTCAAAAGGATCCAAAATTAAACTTTGTTTGATTTCATCAAAAATTGAATTATTGGGGTTCTTTGATATGCCGAATCTAACCGTGAATTTAGATTCTTAATTTTTGGTTCCATTTTCAAATTGGTCTACATTAAGGTCCAAAGGGTCCAAAATTAAACTTAGTTTGATTTTAACAAAAATTGAATTCTTAGGGTTCTTTGATATGCTGAATCTAAACATGTATTTAGATTTTTGATTATGGGCCCAGTTTTCAAGTTGGTCCAAATCGGGGTCCAAAATTAAACTTTGTTTGATTTCAACAAAAATTGAATATATGGGGTTCTTTGATATGCTGAATCTAACCATGTACTTAGATTTTTGATTTTTGGGCCCCGTTATCAACTTTGTCCACATTGAGGTAAAAAGGGTCCAAAATTAAACTTTGTTTGATTTCATCAAAAAATGAATTCTTGGGGTTCTTTGATATGCTGAATCTAACCATGTATTTAGATTTTGGATATTGGACCATAATAGGTGAATGTCCAATTTAAAATTTTTAAGTTCTTAGACCACATTCATTCTGTGTCAGAAACCTATGCTGTGTCAAATATTTAATCACAATCCAAATGCAAAGCTGTATCAAGCTTGAATGGTGTGTCCATGGAGTGAATGGATCTCCATGAAATTTTACCATAAGGTTCTATACCACGAAAGGAAGGTTGGGATTGATTTTGGGGGTTATGGTACCAACAGTTAAGGAATTAGGGGCCGAAAAGGGGCCAAAAATAAGCATTTTTGTAACTTCCAGACAATAACTTGTGTGTAAGTGTATGGATCTCTCTGACATTGTACCACAAGGTTCCATATCACAAAGGGAAGGTTGTAATTGATTTTGGGGGTAATTGCCTCAAAATTTTAGGAATTAGGGGCTAAAAAAGGGGCAAAAAACAAGCATTTTTCTAGTTTCATGACAATAACTTGTGTGTAAGTGTTTGGATATTTCTGAAATTGTACTACAAGGTTCCATATCACAAAGGGAAAGCTGGAATTGAATTTGTGGGTAATTGCCCGAAACGTTTAGGAATTTGGGGCCAAAAATAAGCATTTTTCTAGTTTCCAGACAATAACTTGTGTTCAAGTGTATGGATCTCTCTGAAATTGTACTGCAAGGTACCATACCACAAAGGGAAGGCTGGGATTGAGTTTGGGGGTGATGAATCATAAGGGGGTTCAAAAAATTAGGGGGGGGGGGTTTCTTTTTTTTTCTTTTTTTCCTTTTTTTTTTCTTTTAAAATTTTCCATTTTAAGTTGGTTATTTCTGATTTATATTTAAAAGCAAATAATAATGATATGGTAGGAGATACACACCAAACAGGATGTGTAAATTATTATATAATAAGTATTGTGCAATAGCAAGAAATTTTCAATTGCACAGTATTGCACAATAGCAAGAAATCTTCAATTGCACAGTATTGCGCAATAGCATGAAATCTTCAATTGCACAGTATTGGGCAATAGCAAGAAATATCCAATAGCACAATATTGCGCAATAGCAAGAAATTGTCAATTGTAAAGTATTGCGCAATAGCAAGAAATATTCAATTGCACAGTATTTTTATAAAAGAAGATACTTTGTATAAATTGCTTATTTCTTGATCAATTTCAATGGGGTTTTATTCTTGAATTCTTGGGGTTCTTTAATATGCTGAATCTAACCGTGTATTAAGTTTTTGGATTTTGGGCCCCGTTTTTAAATTTGTCCACATTGAGGTCCAAAGGGTCCAAAATTTAACTTTGTTTGATTTCATCAAAAATTGAATTATTGGGGTTCTTTGATATGCCGAATCTAACCGTGTATTTAGATTCTTAATTTTTGGTTCCGTTTTCAAATTGGTCTACATTATGGTCCAAAGGGTCCAAAATTAAACTTAGTTTGATTTTAACAAAAATTGAATTTTTAGGGTTCTTTGATATGCTGAATCTAAACATGTATTTAGATTTTTGATTATGGGCCCAGTTTTCAAGTTGGTCCAAATCTGGGTCCAAAATTAAACTTTGTTTGATTTCAACAAAAATTGAATATATGGGGTTCTTTGATATGCTGAATCTAACCATGTATTTAGATTTTTGATTTTTTGGTCCCGTTATCAACTTTGTCCACATTGAGGTCAAAAGGGTCCAAAATTAAACTTTGTTTGATTTCATCAAAAATTGAATTCTTGGGGTTCTTTGATATGCTGAATCTAAACATGTATTTAGATTTTGGATATTGGACCATAATAGGTGAATGTCCAATTTAAAATTTTTAAGTTCTTAGACCACATTCATTCTGTGTCAGAAACCTATGCTGTGTCAAATATTTAATCACAATCCAAATTCAGAGCTATATCAAGCTTGAATGTTGTGTCCATACTTGCCCCAACTGTTCAGGGTTCGACCTCTGCGGTCGTATCAAGCTGCGCCCTGCGGAGCATTTTATTTTTCTTTAAAATTTTCCATTTTAAATTGGTTATATCTGATTTATATATAAAAGCAAATAATAATGATATGGTTTGAATAGGTAAATTAAAAATTTTTAAGTTCTTAGACCACATTCATTCTGTGTCAGAAACTTATGCTGTGTCAAATTTTTAATTACAATCCAAATTCAGTGCTGTATCTAGCTTGAATGTTGTGTCCATACTTGCCCCAACTGTTCAGGGTTCGACCTCTGCGGTCGTATCAAGCTGCGCCCCAGCGGAGCATTTTATTTCTTCTGTTCAGAGGCCTTGTAAGGGCAACTCATTAATGTAAAATAAGAAGATGTGGTGTGATTGCAAATGAGACATCTATACACCAGCTATGGTTGCCGTACAACCTTCAACAATTAGCAAAACCCATACCACATAGCGAGCTTTTAAAGGGCTTAACACAACAAAATTTGAAACCATTCAAATAATTGCTGGATGTTTCTTGATGAAACATTAAACAGTCATATAACAGTACCTGAGGATGTGGATAAGGGAATACATGATCCTAGGTATAAACTTACTTTTTAGCTTACCTAACCCAAAGGGTCAATTGAGTTTTTCTCATCTTATCTCATATGACGAAACACTCTCTGAAGATTTGCATAAGGGATATAATACTGGTCCAACATGTGAAAGGGGAGATGATTGAACTTATTTATGTCAGTATTCCAATGTATATATCTACCTGAGGTTGTACACAAAGGAATTTTAATCCGAGTTCAACCTGTAAAAGGCGACATATTTAAATTTGGGAAGAGGTGGGTATCCTTTTGTGAGTTCATTCACAGTTTTTGTCTCGCCTTGACAGAGTCAAAAAGCAAGACATAGGTATGCTATTTCCAGCGGCGGCATCAACAATGTATTAGTTTGTGATTAGGTCTAGTTCATGGTGAACCACTAGTGGTAGGTCAATGATATTTGGTATGCAGTTGTATTAGCTGTGGCACATCTCATTTCCATGGAGATTATTTGGCCCTGCCCCCTCAGTCAAGGTCTATTGACTTTGAAACTTTGCTTAGTTTACATGTATTAGTTTGTGATTAGGTCAGTTTATGGGAAACGACTAGTGGTAGGTCAATGATATTTGGTATGCAGTTGTATAAACATTGGCATATCTCATTTCCATGGAGATTATTTGGCCCCGCCCCCTCATTCATGGTCTATTGACTTTGAAACTTTTGCTTAGTTTTCATGTATTAGTTTGTGATTAGGTCAGTTTAAGGGGAACTGTTAGTGGTAGGTCAATGATAATTGGTATGCAGTTGTATAAGCATTAGCACATCTCATTTCCATGGAAAATATTTGGTCCTAACCCCTCAGTCATGTTCTATTGACTTTGAAACTTTTGCTTAGTTTACATGTATTAGTTTGTGATTAGATCAGTTTAAGATGAACCACTAATGTTAAGTCAATGATATTCAGTATGCAAATGTATTGGCATTTGCAAGTTTCATTTCCATGGAGATTATATAACCCCACCCCCTAATTATGGTTCATTGACTTTTAAACTTTTACATAGTTTACAAGTTAATGTTTGTGTTTAGGTTTGTTTTGTAGGGAACGACTTATGAAAAGTCAATGGTATTTGGTTTGCAGTTGTATTAGCATTGGTACATCTCATTTCCATGGAGATTGTTTAGCCGTGTACCTTCAGTCATGGTTCATTGACTTTGAATACTTGCATAACTTACATGTTAAAGTATTGCTATTTTAATTTCAACATTTACATTATCAAAATAACAAATAGGCGAGACATATCTCTGTGTTAACAGTTTATATGATACAACTTTTGTATATTCTGTGAAGTGTGGATGTACAATGCATTCTATCAAGTTGATATTTTGATATTGTTTATAGAATAAAAAAATACAAACACTTCTGCTGTTTTTGTCTCTCCTAGAGCAATTGGCACTTAGCTAGATATATTTTTTACTTTTTTACAACTTTCAAGGCTTATTCAACATTAAATGCTAAAATATCTAATAAGGTCCATTTCAGAGAGAGAGAGAGAGAGAGAGATAAAGACCTGTAGTTACCTTCATGCATTTAAGTATGTCAGTATGGTCTTTAACCTGATTGTCTTTGATTCACTATCTTGGTGAAATCAGTGTTATCTTTTCAACATGATTTTATTCTCAAAAATTGTTTTTACTGAAATTATATGAAATTGTAACCATTTTACTGCCTATTCCTTTTGTTTACTTTCATTTTCTATTTTAGGACAAGAGAATGAGGCTGCCCAATTATATATAGACCAAGGACAGATAGATCAGGCACTACTTTTGGCTAGAGATTTAGGTAGGAAGGATTGGATTGGTTACTGCTTGGTTGTAGAAGCACAAATTCAGACTACCATTCAGTTTGATGGAAGTGCCATTTCTGACAAGAAAGATGAAGTTGTTGAAAAAGTAAAAGAAGCTTTTGACCTGTTCAAAAACTTGCAAGAAAAAAATTGTTACAAGTTTGTAGATTCCCAGAATGGAGCAGGAGAAGCCAGTCTTTTATTTGGTCAACTGACACATGACATGACTCGTATAAATCTTTCATGGGGAGCTTTTAATAAGGCCAAACCATACAGAAATGAAGTAGCTCAGCTGGAATGTATGAATTGGATGGTATACAACTCTGATCTCACTGACAGAAAAAATATGTTCCAGGTTGTCAAAGGCATGGAAAATTTATATGGTGTGCTGAAAGTCATAACTATGCCAGGGTTGGAGGACAAACAGAGGCTAGATCAGATTCTTCGGTTTTACGGTCTAGAAAATAAAACGAACACAGAAATGATTTATAATCCTACATTGAAACCAAGAATTCTAGGAGTATTGAAATCACAAGGTGCAAATATTAATGAAAAATTTGTGAAAATTGAAATTTCACAACAGAAAGCCAGATTCAGTATTGCACAAGATTTATTGACCAAAGGAAAACATTGGTACAATAGATTGTGCTTAGAGTTTGAGAAGCAACACAAGATGTTAGGTGAATGTTCACTGTATAATATTGGTATTGTGGACAAGTGCCAGACACCATGTTCAAGAGGACTACACAACCAGTTGTCAGATGCCAACTTTAGAAAGTTGATTGAATTAGATGTGCTTTTTGTTGAAATGGAGAGTTATGTTCAATCTGGGGCAAAAAGAATTTCATCAATGCCTGATGAGCTGAAGAGGCTACAAGAAACATTCCTTCATCCCAAAGAAAATGATTACATGTCCTGTAAGCTTCTATTAAACAGTATATATACAAGATTCAGTCGGAAAGAAGGTATTACCATATCAACCAGTAGTGAAGCATTTCGTTTGAAGAAAATGTTTTGTCAAAAGAGGTATGTAAGAATTCAGCTTGAAAGAATGCTAGGAACAAATTATGACAGGGTCAGAGACAAAAACAATAAAATTAGAGAGAAAAATGTGGAACTTTTCATGAATATGATCTTTATTATTAACTTCTTCAATATTTCAACAATTCCTCTTAGCAACATCTTGAAGCAATTTGAACAGGACCTCCTTACTGAATATAGAAATGAACGCATGTCCACAAGATACTTGGAAGAGTTGGGGTTTCTGTTGGAAAAGGATTTAGTTCACTGCTTAGTGCGAAGATTTCTTGAAGCTTATGAATACCTTTCAAGCACAAACAATAATCCTGATTATGCCTTGCGACAGTTTTCCAAATTTATCCAGTTAGAGAGGAGGAAGAATCATGTACCAATGTTACCAGACCTAAATAATCTGATGATGTGGATTGAGTTCTTTTCAGTTACTGCTTTCTGTTTGGAATGTAAATTTACAACCAGACAACATATGTCCTTTGTCATTCCTGCATCATACCTTTCCATTGTCAATTTTGTGGATGCAAGCTTCCTTGGTGATCAAGGAGTTCCTACCTTTGAAGCTATCAATAGATATAATCATGTTCCTGAGCAGGATCTGATAAGAAACCGGACAGAAAGACTTGTTGGTATTTTGGCTGGTACAGATAGGAAAATAAACATCATTCGATTAGTATTTCATAGATTGACAGAAAGCATGAAAGATTGTCAGCCATTGGATGGCCTTGAAGAAGATGATACTACTCTACCATTTGAATATTCGAAAGAAAGAATTGAAAGTATAACAATTGCAGAAAGGGTTCTTATGGCAAGTTTGGTGTTTGTCTGCAACATGGGGCAAATGGTATATACAGACTCAGAAACACATGTTATTGGAGAAATATGCAGAATTAGGTTACCAGAGCATTGCCCAGAAAGGTTAGCACAAGCAGTCAGAGGTGTACAGACAGCAAAAGGCATAGCGGATGTTGTGGATTGCCTGAAAGCCTTACTTGTTCAGAGAGAGGAAAAACTGTTACATTGTTGGTGGCAGTCAAGGCAGAGTCGAAGACATGGTATTGAATTAGACACTGACATTGATATGTCAATATTTCAGGACTCTTTCTTTCTTCCTAAAACTAAAGAGGTCCTTGTTAATCCAGACACTTTCATCGCTAGCCAAACTAATATTGATGACGAAGAAACTGCCACATCCACTGAAGAAAAGGAAAAAATAAGAGCTGAACATGAGGAATATGAAGAGCAACAAAAAAAGACAAAATCAGCTCAAACCATTCTCAATTTCCTAAAACATGTAAAATTCTTGTCAAATTGCCAGAATTTGCGAGAACTTTGTGAAATAGAGCAGGTAAAAATGGACAAATCAAGATCAGCAGACATATTCAGAGATATCATTGTAAATGATAAAATGTGTGGTATTTGTGGAGCTTATTTCAAACCAGAAGAAAGAAACATTGAGCCTGAACAAGACTTAGAAGAAGTCTTATCTGACCATGAATATCCCAGTCTACCACAATCAAACAATCAGCCTATTTCTCCTACAACATCTGGTAACATTCTTCACAAACTGTTTAGTGGAATTAAAAGCTTTGTTGTGGAACCTGACAATCAGACAGGAACTACATCACAAGAAAATACAGAAATAGTGGAAAGTCATTGTGGATTGACTCCATTACAAAAACATGAGAGATTAGAGAGTCATTTAAGTAAACAGCAAGAGTTCAAACTTTTCCAGAGTGCTTACAATAACTACCTGAAGAAAGATGTGGATGATATGAAAATCTTCATAGAAAAGTATGAACTCAAGTCTTCTAAAATAAAGAACCTTTATCCAGACAGTACACTGACTATTGTTCATACAACAACATCATACGACAATGTCATGAAACATATAAGCAAAATTTTGGAGGATAGAGACTGGCAAGACCGTAAGCTTCAACAAATGGTAAAGGAAATGATAGGAAGAGGGAATGAGATATATGATTATGTATTAGATAGATATGAACAACAATCAAAGGTAATTATAACATTGCACATGATCATCTTCTGAAAATGCCAAATAATAGGCAAGAAGTAATGTTAAGCTTAATTTTTTCATTTTGTCAGTCAAAACTATTATTTTCTTGATAATTTTAGATTCTAAACTAGGTGTTGCTATTGAATCTGGTTACTGATTTTTGTCTCGCCTGCTGCCAGACATAGGGGTTACAATTGGCAGTGGCAATGGCTTAATCTTTTTGAATAAACCTTTAATTTCAGAAGGTAGAAGACCTAGATGCTTCATATCTTGTCATATGTCCATTGTCCTTGACCTCATTTTCATGGTTGAGGGACTGCTTAAAAAAAAATTAGATTTTTCTTTGTGAAATACTCACTTATTATGATTAATAGAATTACTACATTTGGTTTATGGGATATTTGCAAGGTCTACATATCTGTCAGACAGGGTTCTGCTGACCTGGACCTCATTTCGAGGATCAGTGATCAATGTCAATAGATATAAGAAGATATGGTATGAGTCTCAATGAGACGACTCTCCATCCAAGTCACAATTTGTAAAAGTAAACCATTATAGGTCAAATCTCAGAAACTATAAGCAAAAGATCAGCTGTATTTGGTATAAGGAATGATTGTAAGGTGTACATATAAATAAGAAGATGTGGTATGAGTGCCAATGAGACAACTATCCATCCAAGTCACAATGTGTAAAAAGTAAACAATTATAGGTCAAAGTACGGCCTTGAACATGGAGCCTTGGCTCACACCGAACAGCAAGTTATAATGGGCCCCAAAAAGACTAGTGTAAAACAATTCAAACAGGAAAACCAATGTTCTAATCTATATAAAAAACGAGAATAACTTATGAACCACACCAACAAACGACAATCACTGAACAACAGGCTCCTGACTTAGACTACTAACAGTAGTATACTGGTGTTCAAAAGTCATAAATCGATTGAGGGAAAACAAATCAGGTTACAAACCAAAACCAATGGAAACACATCAATTATAAGAGGAAAACAATTGAACAACAGGAACACCTAAGTGCAACAAAAAAAAACACCAACACACATAGAAACGAACTATTTGATAACAACTGCCATAATCCTGACTTGGTACAGGACATTTTAAGAACAAATGGTGGGTTGAACCTGGTTTCATGGCATGCCAAACCTCCCGCTTTATGACAATGTTAAAAAATATCACTAAAACACTACATGACAGAAATACAGCACAAACACACGCAAGAACATTCATAACAAAGAAACGCACAAACAAATAATATAATAGTCGACACAACATGTAAACCACAGAACAACAACGAACATATTCCATCAAAGAAAAACACCATAGGATATCAAAAACAGTGACGTGCTTACGTAACTATCATGCAATCTTGAACATTATACAATTATTTTCACAATATTCGTCCAAACAATTTACATGCCAATGATGGTATGGAAAGGCAATATTTTAATTATATGGACTACAAACTATAAGACATAACAGATTAGGACAGGTGCATAAAAATGCAGCGGGTTTAAATGTTTTAACAGGCGCTAACCTTCACGCTAACCTGAAACTGTGGTATAACATTACAACATAAAAAGACACACAATAAAATATCAATTGAAATGTTTTAACTCGATCAAAAAGACAATACACAAAAACAAGTAATAAACAAGTAATAAACAAGTGATAAAAAAGATGTTTCAATGTCAAAAAGACAACTTTAACCTAGGAAAAAATAGCGTTTAATAAAGTAACGTTCACAGGTAAATTTAAATATAATAATTTTGTTGTTTGTTGTTAGGGGTACAAAAACATTTTTTACAAAATAAATTTGTTATTCATAGTACGAGTACAGAAGTGAAAATTTTTTGTCATACTTATCAAAGGTGGTACATATTAAAAATAGTAAGATGAGATATAACACAAAATAAGTAAACATTGAATAACAGAAATGCATTACAAATTGTGTCAACAGGTCAAATTGACACGAAAGTACGATTTGGGAGTACTCACAGTTACTGAAAGCTAGTTAAAAGCCAAAAACAATTAATAATAAAAAATCATGCATCAGAGACTAAAATCAATTAAAACACATCCCAGGCAGGGATTTGGTATTTTAACGCCATGGACAGTCAAGGAAGACATGACTTGTGCTATTCCAAAATTAAAGTAACGACAGGCAGTAGGATAGTTAGGATTTAACCTTATAATAAATATGTATAATGTTATGTATAGATAAAACAATTTCTAAATAGAAAATAAACATGGATGTGTATATATACATCCCAAAAAAACATTCGAAAAGAATACAAATTTAGTTATGTTTTGATTTGTTGATGACAAAATCAATGTTAGTGCCAATGAAAACAATATTCAAAGATCTTATTACAACATTTATAAGATAACTTTACTAATAAGTTTGTTTAAAGGTTCGATAAGTTTACATGGATCACATAGTGATTTCCAAGCTTACATTGATTACGTTGGTTAAAATCTATGACATCACTACACACACAGGCATAACGAACGAGTTGGGATATATAAACACTGTATGATGGAACCAAAGGAACATCACTGTCTAAAAAAGGAAAATTAACAATAAGGAATGAAAAATCTTCTCTTTTGGGTAGTATATTTAGAGAATTCTAGATTATTTAATGAAAAAATATCATCAAGATAACGGTAGTTATTGTTGAATGTGTCAACTAAATGTAACAATGACGTGTCTTTACTGATTTTGGTCATAAACTGTGATTCATAGCAATATAGGAATAAATCTGCTATTAAAGGGGCGCAATTAGTGCCCATATGAATACCTACTACCTGTCGATACACTTTATCGCCGAAATGTACATAAATGTTGTCCAGGAGAAAATTTATAGCTTCAGTCATATCTTCACATTTCCAGTAAGTGTATCTAGCATACTTTCCTTTTTCATTACAGAAAAAGGCTTTCAACGAGTTACAGCAAATAAATTTGCAATGATTTTTCAAAAGACCATTTAATTAAATATGAAAACTTTTTCTTGATAAGATTGTGTGGAAGTGTAGTGTAGAGAGTAGAAAAATAACTGTCAAAAGAATTAAAAGGACCATCAGAAGCACGTATTTTATCTAAAACCTCTAAAGAATTTTTAGCACTCCAAATATAATTAATACCATTATTTTCATAAACTTTATTACAAAAGTTAATAACAAGTTCTTTGATAGTAGTAAGGGAGGTAGTTAGAAGCACTGACAGATTAGTAGTAGAACACTTACTAGATGCAGAGATGAAACGAAATTTAAATGGTTGTTTGTGTAATTTAGGTAACCAGTACATAGTCGGGACTTTCAAATGTTCGAAAGAGGCTTTAAGCTGGGTAGTGGCTGTGATATGCTTGTTTACAAGTTGACTCTCTGTGGAGCATACAGACCTGAATGTAGAAGAATTGATAATTTCATTTTGGAGAACTTCTGTGTAGTAAATGCGTCACACCACCACTACATTGGTGGCTGCTTTGTCTGCCGGTACGAACACAAACCGCTTTGCGAGTACTTGGAGTTTATTTTTTATTCTAGAAATCGGTATATCATGAACCCTATTATTAATTTCAGAATTGTTTTCAAAATGAGATATACGAATATCAACAGTATTCATAATTTTATTCAAATAACTGTCTAGAGATTTTTTATCAGATTTTTCACGTTAACACCAATTTTGACAGGTTTCATATGACCTTAACCTTTTTTGTCAAGCTTTGTTGCGAAAGCAAGATATAGCGATCCTAGATTCCGTTGTCGGTGAAGGCGTCAGCGGCATCAACATTTTGGTTCAGTCTGTGATTAAAGTATTTTTAGACATCAATAACTTTGTCAAACCTTCATGGAATTTTAGGAAATTTGGACAGAAGCTTAGTTATGACCAAAATACAGTAGTCAGAGCAAAATTTTGAAATTATTTATTTTCGTTTTTTCTGTATTTTACTGATAAATGGACTTATTTATTAGTCCCCTACCCTACCGGCGAAGTCAAAGGGGACTTTAGGTTTGCACTCTGTCTGTCTGTCTGTCCATCCGTCAGTTCCGCAAATCAGTTTTCCACACATTTTTTCTTCATGCTTGAAGATATTGATTTGATATTTGGTATATAGTTTATCATGACCAGTAAGAGATCAAATTTGAATTTTGTTTCGGTCTGACGATTTTGTGCAAAGTTATGGTCCTTGGACTTAGAAAATTCACGTAATTAATCAGTTTTCCACACTTTTTGTTTGTTATGCTTGGATATATTGATTTGATATTTGATATATAGTTTTACCATGACAAATTACAGATCAAGTTTGAATTTCGTTTGGTTCAGATGATTATTTTGCAGAGTTATGGTCCTCAGACTTCATGAAAATAATCAGTTTTCCACACTTTTCGTCATGCATGATGATATCGATTGATAATTGTTATATAGTTTACACCATGACAAGTTATAGATCAAGTTAGCATTTTGTATCAGTACAATGAATTTTTAACCGGTAGGGGACTATGTATTGCCATGCAATACTCTCAAAATGCTTGTTTTTTTACAGTTAACAAGTAGATACAGTCTGAGGTAAAAGTTTTTCAGTCATCAATAACTTTGTCAAGCCTTCATGGAATTTTATAAAATTTGGATAGAAGCTTAGCTATGACCAAAATACAGTAGTCAGCAAAATTTTGAAAATATTTATTTTCATTTTTCCGTATTTAACTGATAAATGGACTTAGTTTTTTTAACATTTAACAAGTAGATACAGTCTGGGGTTAAAGATTGTTACACATCAATTACTTTGTCAAACCTTCATAGAATTTAAATGAAACTTTGTCAGAAGCTTTTTTTATGATTAAGAGATAATCAAATAAGTAAAATTTTAAAAGGTTTTTTTTTCATTTTCAGTATTTTTCTAGTAGATGGACTTAGGTTTTTTACAGTTAACATTTACATACAGTCTGAGATTAAACTTTTTTGACATGATAAATATGAAACCTTCA